TGCCAGATGCTTTACACGTTTCCCAGGCAGGGCTTTGGCAACAGGTGAGCAGAAGCTGGCACGAGGAAGAAAGACAGCAGGCTCGTTTTGTGATAGCAGCCGGGGAAAAAGTTTCTACAGATTTTCTGAAGGTATTTCAAAGCTTTCCTTTGGAGTTTTCTTTTTCGGTCCAGACATTTTTAGGGGAGAGAGATTTCTTTTTGGGGCTTGTTAAGCAACAGTAAAAGCTTATGTATCAAACTAGCCTCACCAGACTCCAGGAGAGAGCCAGAGGTGTGTGTAAAGTCGCTTTATAAAGAGCATCATCAGGCTGTGCTGGAACACAGAGGAGCTCAGACCAAATACTTTAAACACGTTTTTTCCACATGTTTTAACAAATGGCTGCAATACATAAAACATGTGTTGTGGCTCAGGGTTTCTGTAACGTCCATCTCTCTAGTTTGGTCAGTGAACATACTGGAAACAAATTGTACTTTATGATTCCTTGTTTTAGATAAAGATTCTAAACAATTAACTGGAAATGACTAGATTGCGTTTTAGGCCTTCAGTTTTATTCTGTGTTTTTAATCAATGTCAGGTCAAAAAGGTCTCCAGTGGTCAGAATATGAGTCTGAATGTAAACATGGCTACACGATCAAAGTTGAAATAAAAGTTGAAAACTGGGTATTGATTGGTACTTTTGTTTACAGCTGAGGTTTATAGCTCTGAATTTTGGTGAGTGTGAGAGCTGAATACTGACGGTAAACCTCTCCCTGAACGCTGTGAGCCAAAGCACAGACAATTAACAAGTATCTGCTCTGTGGAATTAAGCCTCATTTACGGCGTTTAGAAAAGAGGAATTCATCTAGACTTTTTATTACGCGCAACAGACCATAACAAGAAGTATTAATCAGTGGAAATGCAGGAAGGGGATTAATAATGGAAACTGACCAATCCCATGGCGGCCTTGTGGACGGGCGACAGAGAGAGGTCGGCGCACTTGACCTCCCAGACCTGCACGGCGTCCAGCCACACGTCGGGCTCCGCCGCCTGGTCCACGCGGTAGTAGGCCCGGGGTTTGGGCAAGATGTGCTCCTGCAGAAGGCCAAAAGTTAACGACTCTTCACGCTCACATTCAAAGTTTCGCTGATAAAACATCGAATTAGATGGAGAAAGTTCCCCCGGAGGGGCGCAAGTCTGCAACGACTGGGAGAATCTGGAACCCAAATGCACGAAAATGTACATTCTAAATCCATTTCCAATGTAAAAATGGGACGATGCATTCAGAAATAAGCTGGTAAACAGACAGCGACAGAGTGGCTGAGGCTGACCTGTTCCAGAGTGCCTCACAATCACATCCCAGGAGGCTCAACACAGCCCCAGCATCCACACACTGAGATATTTCTTCCCTGCTCGGGGGCAACATCGGAAGAGGATCTCTAAACCGCATTATCATTTAAGAACATGAAAAATATCCCATTAAAAAGGCCTTGTTACACACATTTATGTCCCCAAAATTCACCTCTCAGGCGAAGCAATAAAAGACAAATCAAATAAAGACAATAAAGCCCAACGATTCCATCAAAGCGTTTGTGTTGTGCCAGCCCTCATTCTGATGCATTAGCCACTCTTTTCCTCCATCATATCCCAGACAAACGCACACATTTCAGTCGTTCCGAGAGCTCTGAGAGGAAAGTTAACTCCACTCCTTCGGCGTCCACAGAAGTGGGTCACAAAGAGAAAAAGCTCAGGCAGCCGTTCCCCGGCGCGCATTATTCATACTGTAGGCACTCAAGTGATGCTTTAATACGCACAGAATCACAATGAGTGAGCTGGTAGGCGTGCAGCCTTATAAAATATTGCTGCTGATTGTCATGAGTTCTGTCACAGCTCAAACTTGTAGCCTCTCAGCTCACTGGTGGCATCAAAGAGGCTGCAGCTAAAACTTCCAATCCGAAAAAAGGTGTTTAAAGGGGACCCAATTCTACTAAATGATGCAGGATTATCAGCCCAGTCTCACAAAAGACATCCTCTAGACTCTGGACACAGGTGACCGTAGAGGGGAGAGAAAGGACACGGTCACCTTCGGTACCAGCACAGCTTTTTCGTTAGTTTTTAAAGAAAAACCCAAACTTGTCGGGACGACCCTGTTGCCGTCTGAGGTGCTTAATCTTTTTGTTTTTCCAGGTCGTGGGCCAGGTGAGCCGGAACCCGTGGCCCTTTACTCCGCACAGAGGTGCCCGTCCACCCAGAGCTCACAGCTTTAAAGAGACAACTCCCTTTGGCCAGAAAAAAGAAACATCAGAGCTGGTCGAGAAAGCCGCGGAGATAAAGGTGGATTTCGTGTAGAAGTCGTTAAACTGTGGGACTTCCTGTGTGAAGCTCTGTGTTTGGCCAGGATAACCCGCCTGGTTCCACGTTCAATGTCTATAATCCTTGGGCCTCACATACATTTACCACCCACAGATATGAAACACTGACTCATTTCTCTTCATAAATATACGATCGTGTACATTCTGTTTTTTTTCTACCATTTAAATAGTTTAATTGGTTCCCCTTTATCTACTCCTCAGATAATCTGTTGCTGCTTTAGGTCATATTTATGCAGAAATATAGAAATTTCGACAGAGTTAATGCAGTTTAAAGCGGAAGCTCGTATTAAAAGGACGACTCAGTAAATGGGTCAAGCACTTAATTAGGTTGGGGTGATGAAACAAAGCAACTGCACGCGCCTTCAGGAATATTATAATTACACTTAACACGAGGCTAAAAAGTGTCTGAGCCATTTCAGTAACGTGCAATTACTCTGGTTGATTTAGTATCTTTTACTTCTGGGAGTGAGTGTGCAATTCATATCATTTATGATCCTATGTCATCTGTTTATTTACCAACTCGGCCATTTTAAATAACTCATTTTATGCAGGAGTCTTAACTCCTTACATTTATCCTGGAAGAGAACATTTGTAGAAGAATTTTGAACTCGCTGAGAATAGAAGAGCAGCCGGACTCGAGCCGCTAGAGTGAGCGGGGAGGTGACTTATTGCTTATGAAAAGGAGAACCAAAATTTAAGGTCAGCTTTGGCTGTAGTACAACTTGCACTAGATTTATTTAAAAAAAAAAAACTGCTTATCAGAAAATTGCAGAGCTGGAAAGAACATGTTTTAGGTCAGCAGCTGCAAGGGCAGAGCCTCCGTTTGTGTCTGTGATCACAACTCTGCTGCTCACCACCCTGCTTTCAGGCACACGGATGAAAATAATTAGCATTTCAGCTCTTTTTTTGGGGGGGGGGGGTTTCGTTGTGGATTTTAAGTACAAACGTTTTTTTTTTAAAAGCTTCTGCAGACAATAAAAACACTGTAAGACAGGGAATAAAACTGGAGCAGTCAATTATATTTAAACCATTTTCCAGTTAACAGCTGTAGATCAATTAGATTACTCTTTATAGTCATTTTAATTATGTTATTTTTCATTAAACTGAACACAGAGAATAAATTTGTCCCTGTTGGAAGAGGACCAACGGGGGAAAAAGGACGGCAGTAAATCGTAAACTGGAACTTCCCGGAGCTCAGAGTGATGCCTTCAACTTAATCTTTTTTTATCTGATCAATGGTGAGAAAAAGGTTTATATTTAAGAGGCAGCTCCCTAAAACAAATGAGCGATAATGAATTAGGAGAGTGAAGCACTTCAATCACATGAATAATTAACAAATTGATCCTCAGTTTTAACCTGACATCACAGCTGAGAACTTTAATAAATAAACTTTAAACTGGGATTTAAGAAAAGGAGAAATTTAGTATTGAGGAAGTCCAGATCATGCTTCTTTTGTATTTTGTTTTTCTTTAAGGATGAAATGGGGCCTTGTCAAACAAAGCCCTCCATTATTTTGTACTGTATTTTGTATTAGATTCATACGGGTCAAAACCCGATCCGGATCCCAGGGGTGGGACGGGCCTGGTTATGAGACAACTCCTCGTTGCTAGAGAGTAAACAAGCCGATTGCCTCCCTGTCGGCGGTCCCAGCGGCCCCCAGAACTGCAGAGGCCACACCGCCAGCTCGCCTTATTCCACCATCCATCACTTTCATTACAAACAACAGCACGAGAACGGCTGGTCCGAGACAAAGAAAAGGTTGCTACACCGTCTCCATCACTGCGGCAGTCTACGGCCGATCCAATCTGAAAGACCCCTCCATTCCAAAACTAAGAAAATCAACCAAAAGCCGGGCTTTGGCTTAATCATCCTCCAAACAGAAAGCTGCGTTTGGAGGATTCTCTCTGCCTTCTACAGTGGGGCTAAAATTAGCTGGAAAAGTTGAGCGTTTTCGAATCAATTCTGCCTCTCACAATAGTCATTTTCAATCGCTTCCACTGCTCTGCTGCTCTGAAACAGACCTCTTCATACCCAGATTGAAAAAGCAATTCATTACCCGACGACTGAGTGCAGCTCTTTGGAGCCTTTTCTTTGAATAGGTAAAGCAGAGGTTCGTAGTTTCTGCTTGTTTTCGTCTAATAATTCCACACACTTATAAAAACAAATGCATGCACAATGACGCCAAATTAGTGAGATTTCTGCCATTTCTTAGATGAATGCGAGACTCTTCCATCGTCACAGACGGCTATCAAAAAGAGTTCTTTTATAGAAACCCATCTGCACACCAGCTTTTGGTTTTCAGTTTTAAAAGTCTCCACTTTTAGCCGAAAAGATGGAATGTAAGACAAATAATTGAGGGAATGATCATTCTTCAGATAAATTCAATGACACAAATCCAGATTTCATACGTTTTAAAATAAGTCAAGTGGCTGCAGCTGTGTTACCAGTTGTAGGGGTTTTTTTTGTTGTCGTTTTTTTTAATTGGCACCAACACGCAGCGCCGCTTTACCTTTAAGAACTTGTAATGTTGCTCCAGATCTTCATCCTTGAAGCCCGTCCCAATCTGGAAGAGATGAGAGGAGGTGAGAGAGACCCGGTGATGAGACAGATGACATTTGGCAGCCAGAAACACCCCCCCCACCCCCACACAGCAAGCATCTTGTCTGCCTTATTTGCCACGAGTGTCATGTCACTTCTCAGAGGACCTGAACCCGCTGAGAGATAAGAAATCCCACACACACACACACACACACACACACACACACACACACACACAGAGAGGAAAGTGATGATGCAAATCTTGCGTTTTGCCACCCGCAGACATTTTCTGCAGCTGTCCGCCAGAAGCTGCTTTAGCGGGAGCGTGGGAGTTTAGACGTGTTTAATTCGGCTGTCGGACCTTGATGTGTTATTCAGCCGTGACAGCCGAGTCCTTCACGAGCCGCCGGCGGCCGCACGGCTCGTCCAGAGTGTGAAACGCGGCGCCGATTTCACACCGAAGCAGAGCCCGGCCAATTACGGCGGCTTGTTTGTTTTGTGTACCAATAGTCAAATCCCCCGGCAGCTTAGGCCAATCAATACAGGTGTCTGGGTGGGAGACATCGTTACAAGGCTGAGGGCTTTCTCACCTCCAGTTTTAATACTCAGGATCAATTCTTTCCTAAATTTTAGAATTTGAAGCTTACCTTTATCTCATTTGAAGTCTACACATCTATAGCTTACAGTCCACCTTAACTCAGGCTGATTACTTTCATGCCACACAAAGATTTTTGGATGATATTTACATCTGTGGATGTTTCAAATGCACTTCAGAAATAAACTTTGACTTTACTGGACTCTGTTTTTTACCCTAATTTCAACAAAACTTATTAACCCTCTAAAGGGTTGTAATAGAGAGTTAAGGTTTCAATCTTTGAGTAAAATTGGGAGCTATGAGAAAATATATTAGAAACCTATGTGAACAGAAATACAGGCCAAGTGGGCCGTGAGGAGTCATGACAGTCACGATATTCGTTGGCCAATGGCTTTGCAGAATCGTTGCGCTTTGCTCTCAGCAGTCGCCGTGTTTTGTCGCGTTACGCAACCACTCAGTGAGTTAGGAACCTAAACGGAAGGCTGTAAAAGCCCCACGGTTGGCTTTACTTCACTCATAAAAATAAAACGGCGCTTTAAGGAGATGGGTATTAATCTGAGAGCAGACACAGAAAAAGGGGATCGCTCAGATGGAAGTGTGAAATAACCATCAGTCAGCATTTGGTTTAAAAGTCTGACATTTACTTAATTATTCCTCCTCTGCCAAAGACTTTAAAAAACGCTGATAATTCTCCATCCTCGGCGTGACGCGGCTTCCCCGGCGTGTTTCAGCAGGACACGGGGCTGTGAAAGCCAGGGGGGGGGGGGGGCAATTCTGGGTCAATTCTGCTTCCAGGCTTTGTTTTTAGAGGAGGAGTGGAAGGGCTGATGAAATGCAGCGCACAGGAGCAGAGGAGGCTGCAGTCACTTGACAACTGCCGGGCTGTCATGGAGCACGCATTCAAGTGTTTACACTGTTTCAGCTGTGCTGCTTACCCCCCCCCCCTACAAAAACATGTGCCTGGATTCTGATCAATAGCGCCGTCTACGAGAGACATTTAGACAGCACGTAGCTGTTTTTAAGTGGATCTCCTTCCATTTCATACGGATAATTACAGTGATTGTGCGCCGGACATCAAGGGCCTCCAAAGCAAAGGTGAAGAGAAATCGATAGTGTGTCTCAACACCTTCTGTGAGCATGAAGAGGACAGAATGTGTTCCTCTGCCAACATCACAGCTCTTATATAGACACTGTGAGGGGGTGGGGGGGTGACGAGCAGCTGCTTTCCTTAGACATTTTCACCCATGAACAACGGGGAAGCGTGTGGGCGATTGGGTCAACTTTTCCCTGCCGGTGTTTATAAAAGCACGTCCCCGCAGGAGGCGGCGGGCAGGAGATGAGCTCTCACAGCTGGAAGTCACGGGGGGGGGGGGCACGGCAGCAGATCACAGACACATGACGAGATGCAAATAAGAGCCGAGGATATCGGCGTTTGGTTTGCGACAGCTCCAGAGCGCAGGAGGAGGCATCGTGAAAATGTTCCTAGCGTTTGACAGCGGAAATGTAAAGCTGCTCACTTCTTTACATTTTCTATCTGAGCAGCCAGACCTTATTCAGATCTTTTAAAGTGGTTCTGGGCAATAATTCTCCACGATTTCTGAAGCTTTTTTTATCTTTGGACGTTTTGTATCTCACCTATTTCCCGTCCAGTTCTGGTGGCTGGCTTCTTTCAGAGAAATGTGTTTTTGTTTGCAGACTTAACTCTAAAATATGACTCATTCAAGCAAGACGTGAAGCAGCAGTATGTCGTCGCTTTTGCAAAGAGCCGATGGAAAATGGTGTTTTGAACCCCTTTATCGGTATTTTCTCACAAAGACGGGAGTCGACGGGTTGGTTTTAACGTTATGGCTGATGGCTTTACGGTAGGCCCTTTAACAGACACCAGCTCAACTGAGGCAGCAAAACGCCGCCGGTGCTCCAATGAGCCGTCAGGTGTGAAGGTGCTATGGATGTGAAAACAAGACACGCCGATGCGCACACTCACTGCTCGGTAAATTCCTTTAAGGATAAAGATACAAAGGGGAGAGAAATTGGGGCTTTTCACAGGGAGTGACCACATTTAAGCTTTGCAGTGAGGTCATCCTCTGGGTTTCTCACACACAAACTCACGTGAGCCGTGTTTTCTGTTACAATAAGGGTACCTGGACACAGGCAATGTGTTCCACAGGCTCTAATTGGGCCTAACAAATTATAAATACGTAAAAAGATGTCACCTTTGAGCTTGCATGCTCTTTACTACGCATTTATTAACTGAAAATGTCAGCAAATCTGCAAACATGAGATTTAGTTCACAGGTTCAAATGCTGCCAGGAGAGCTGGCTGCTTTGAGCGGAACCAAAAGACAAAGTGAAGATCTGATGCCTTATGAGTGTAACTCATGGGGCCATCATGTTGGTTGAATTTTGGAGACGTATGTGTGTTTGCTGCAGTTTGAAGAAGAGAGGCTACACAATGGGAATACTGTAAAATGACTCTTTAACATAAAAACAAGGACAAAATAGAAAATAAAAAACGAAGGACAACATAAACGTTGAAACCTAATTTGCACATTTTCTGCTTGGTTGGATCAAAATGAAGGCTTTCCTGGTGTCAAATGCGCCGGTTAAACGAGCGGCGCGGCCGATCTGTGGCGTGCATTACGTTTCCCGCCCCGCTGCACCCTTAATGAAACGTGCGCCCAGCGCTACTTACCTTGCAAACGGACTGGAATTCCTCATTTTCGTCGTCGTAGCAGGCCAGCAGGAAGCCCCCGTAGGTGCCCGCCCTTTTGCCTTTGCCCAGATAGGCCCCAATCACGCAAAGGTCAACCGTGTCGCCCACCCCCTCCAGGTAGTCCTTCTTCAGCTGAGGGCAGAGCAGGGAGAAAAACACAGTTCATTTCGGGGAGGGAAAAAAAGCCCCAAAAAACAGATGTTCTGCCTCTTTTTTTATCTAAATGAGATAATCAAGACTTTAAAAGCTGTGGAAACTGCATTTAAATTGAGACTAATTTATAAATAGAGAGCAGTATTTAAGAATCTGTCACCAATTAAATACAGCTGCTCCGTGCCTGAATGAGCACCCTGTTAGCTTTATTTTAATTGTATTTTTTTTAAACATGCAAGCAATGCTCTCATGTCTCAGCCGATAACACCTACAAATCGCGTTACATCATATTTGGCCTACTTGCACTCCCAATAAAAGGTCACAACTTTGTGTACAGAGGAGGAAGCAGAGGAGACCTGCATCAGAAAAACTTTGGGTGTGAGCAGCCAGTAGCTCCTCCTGATTACGTGTTTCTCAGTTTGAGCAAAGGGGTCACAGATGTTGGCGGACGCAGACTTTTCTCGGGACTCAGACTGATCTCGATCGGGCAGCCCCAGCCTCTTTGTAGATAACAGCAGCTCCAGGTGAGCTGTTGTTGAAGAGCGCCGCTCTCTCGTGAGTGTTTCATGATAACTGGAATGATGAATGGACTGTGTTTATAGAACGCTTTTTCCATCGGCCAATCGGAGGGCTTTTACACAACGAGCCACGTTCACACACAGACTCCCTGCAGGGCTCCCAAAAACGGCTTTTTTTGCTTTGCCTATTGCGTGCTTGTACAGAAACGGGCACGTCAGTCAGGAAGGCAGATGTCTTCCCACGGACAAGCTGAAACGCAAACCACCGACCTTCTGATCATCCTCCTGAGCTCCAACCCAAAGCCTTCAAATCCCCCACTTTTAGCTGCATCCTATTAAAGTTTCTCTCTATCAGGGACTTAGCCCTTCAACACCTCCCTCTCTGCCCCCTAAAATGTCAAAAACAATATTGGAGACTGCGCCGTCTCCACGAGCCTCAAAAATGAGTCTTCCAAGTTCGCTGTGGTGATTGATGACCGCTGATCGCACCCAAGATTTGCCTCCATTCGAGGCCATTTGTCTTCAAACTCAAGCAATCGTCTAAACAATGAAAAATGGGCCAAAAAGTTTGTAATCTAAGGCAGCCTAATGGAAAAAAACTTATCCTCACATTTTTAATAATCAAAGATAAGCAATTGTGGGAAAGATGTGTACTTAATAGAGGCAATAGAAATTATTGACTAAATGTGGGTGTTCATCATTATTATTTCTCATACTTCTACAAAGAGCCCCGCACTAAATCAATGGGAGTCCATGTTTGCAGCATAATTCTGTTAATCTTAAAACTGCTTTCCATTAGGTCCCGCATGTTTTTCTGCACATGTGCCAGCACAGACCTTCAAAAACTACCCATGTAGAAGAGAATTAGAGTTGAAAGCTTAGAGTTCAGCTGCCTTTACACACATGTGGCTCAAATTATTTGGACTGATATTAAAACGCAAAAAATGAATGTGGTCCAGTCACTCGAAATGTTGAAATCTGATTTGGTGACGACGTTTGAGGAATGGTGCATCATTTTCAAAATATGGCAAAAAGTTCCCCAAAATTATTTTAAAATCACTGAACTGACCTTTGTGCATCATTGTGTGTATGTTTGCATTTTAAAATCAAGAAATGTGTTAGACGGAGGGCATGTTTTCATTTGGGAGCTGGTGTGTGTGTTTGAAATCACCCTCCCACCACTTTCACATACACACCTTCAGCCAATTATGGGAGCGCTTGGCAATCTCATAGGTTGCATCTTTCTCCAGAGTCTTCACCATGAGGCCTTCGCAGGAGTCTGCACACACACACACACACACATAGACACACACGCATAAGACACCAAAACACAACTCCGGCAGCGCAGAGAGGAAATTAAGAGATTATCTGGAAGATAATGGAATGCATTAGTGTGCTACTCAAAGGGAAACAAACGGGTTCAGGAAACAAAGAGACGGTGGACATGGAGAGGAGAATCACTCTCACAGACAGGAAATCCGCGTCTGCCCTTCCTAAGAAAGAGAAAATTCATGCACACACACAAAGCAAAAACATCCAGGCGAAACAAAGACGTAGACAAGTAAACAAAGACTACACACACACACACACACACACACACACACAAGTAGCTGGCAAGGGTACGCATGAAGACTCTAGCAACACACCCACACACACAAAGACGCCAGGCGAGGAAAGCAGCACGCCGCTACTTCACACAAAACAAAGTTCAGGATGCAACGGCACCAGGAAGAAACTCTCAGTTTCTCTCTCAGGAGGAGGAAAAAGTCTGACACACACACAAACACACACACCTCGGACAGATTGATCCAGGAACTCGGCGATGGCGTCAGTGTTGCTGGAGTCCATGGAGGAGGCGAACAGGAACTCTCCCTCCGCCTCCGAGAAGCTTTCTCTCAGCAGAGCCCGCCGCCGGCCCAGCGGCAGCCGCACCAGGGACTGAAAACAAACACGCACACCGTCACAAACCGCAAGACCGGCTCATTACCACCATTTTCTCTTTACAGCTGGAGGGCTCGCGGTGACAGGGATGAAACGCCATCGCAGCCATCTACCCACACAGATACAAATAACCGGCATCCGAATCCACCCAGAAGCCCGGTTCCAGCAGTTTAAAAAGACACACATGCTAACTCCCACACGCGCACAAACAGCCACAAACCTGCAGCCCACACAGCCACCAGCGCGTTCACAGCCACCTGCAGCTACTCCGGGCTTTTTTTCTTCATTAGCATGCGTTTAAAGAAAATAGAAACAAATCCTCCTAATGGCAGCATAAACACACAACCCCCAGCAGAAAGATGACACATAGGAGGTGAAGGCGGGCGGGCTGCTGTAACGACACCGCCGGCTTTTATTTCCTCGTGTCACACAACTTGTTACAGACGCACAGCTGCCGTTTCTGCCAACGTGAATCGGAAAGTGTTCACACATGCGCCACTTAAAAGTGGGCAGAGAGTGGGAGCTCATGCATTTGTTTGGGGCGCCATGACAGACATCCAGAGATGAAGCACATAATGAAAGGGAGAATAATTGCCTGTTTATAAAAAAAAGAGGTGTTCGAGCCTTTTGAGTCCTTAACTGAATAATATGCAGGAGTGTTTATTCCCTCCAACTATCCAGAGGCCGACATCAGACCGTTTTCATAACTCACATTTAATATGATCCTGCCGTGAGGCTGTTGTGTAGGAGTCACCTGGGCTCCAATAATAGCCGAGTTCGCTTTCCGTCCTCGTGGGAGATCCCCTGCCCCCACCCCTCCCATCACCACTAATTAAAACCATTATCAGCAAACTTAAGAAATCTGCTTAGAACCTGGACGCAGAGGATGTAAGCGCACGCTCTCACTGTCGCTGGGAGCCGCAGACGGTGTGTGGAGACAGACACACAATCACCACACACTGCTGGAATTCCAATGAGCGCCACAGTCATTATCCGGTTACGGCCTCCAGCAGCAGCATCGTTGCCATTCAAGGCCGCCGTTGGCGTCTCGGCGGGGCAACGAGCACAAAGGCACGCTCGCAAATAACTAACAGGTTTTTAAAAGAGGACGGGGGCGCGCGGAGCGACTACTGGCTAATATTTCATTAGTGAGTGTAGCACTTACCTCGCCGTTGAGATAGAGGAGGTCAAAGGCGAACACACACACTTGGACTTTGATATCCGAGGCGTCCACGTCCTGTGGGGAAGCAGCCACACATTTCTCAACACTTTTCCCCAGGACCAAACCTGGAAATGGCCACATTTTATTTACAAATTGCTACATCCAACCTTGGGATTTGTTACAAAGAGCTCTTTGATTTCTCCCTGGTTCATCTTGAAAGTTACCGGCCCCCCCCCTCCCTTCTCCCCTTTTACCTTTTAACAGCCTCACACCTCTTTGGTGTTCTCATCTCTCTCCCGGTGTATTATTTCCTACCCCTCCACTTACTTTGCTCACCTCCATCTCTTTTTCTCACCTTTCTCACACCTCATCTTGTTTACTCCACTCTTGTTTATCCCCAATGGTCTCACACCCAACTCTGCCTCATTACCGGGGTGTCCATCATGGCCCTGATGTAGAAATCCATGACTTTTGTGCTGAGGAACTATTGAATTCCTCCGAACCGACTGCTCCAGCAGCTATTAGCCATTATTTTTGAGCAGCTCCACGTTTGTGATTGGTTCAATCCTGCACACGGTTTGACCTACTAACGGCGCCATGAAGTCAATTCTATTTCCTGGAAACGGCCTGCAAATTTGTGCTCACGCAGTCGAGGAAAAGACGCTCCTGCTGCCAATTTCACACGCCGTCTGAAGCTGCTGCTGGTTGTAGGAGCCTGGTATGTATGTGGCAGGGAAACGTTTGTCAATGGGAGCAATGTTCTACCCAGGTCTGACTCACTCACTCACACGCTACCAACTGTATTCTAAATTCAGTTGGTAATTACTGTGTTTTTGCTTATTAAAGTCAATCATTTTCAGAGTTTTTGCAAATGAGCTTGAGCAAAAGGCACAATTGTGTTAGCAAGAATAAGAAATAAAAGGAAAGTCCAGGAACAAATTGATCAGTTTTATATTGATTCCTTTGGGGGAAGTGTTTTCTCTCTTTTCTTTTTTTTAATCTGTGAGATCTCATTATCAACGTAAAAATGAAACAGCAACATATCAATTGCGAGCAGCTTTGGTAGGTAGACTCCGTGTTCACTAGCAGCACAGGTTGGATGCAACATCGGGGAAAAAAACAAAGGTTTAAATCCCTGGCACAGGCCTTGGATGTGAGCATGTTCATGGCTTTAAATAAATACTGTACCCTGCAATGTTTCAGGCTCTTGATAAAGGTAGAACATCTGTTCAGACTCATATTCCTCCCCTGATGCCCTCAAGGAAAAGTAGGTTTAAATCCTAAATTCACTTGTCAACAATCTGAGCCGCACAAGCATAGCTTTAAGACTTAACTTCACTGAGAAAGACAATGAGCCTGTCCCAGAGCATCTGGCTCCCCCAGAGTCATTGGATTAAGAGATTTCCTCTTCCAAAATGTTATGAGATACACAAAGTCATTTTTGCATTTGTTTGAATAATTACCGCTCCACAGATATGAGAGCGGAGGCAGTCCAGGTTTTGCTTCACTTTCTGAGAAGAAAATTAGTTTTAAGGATCTCTTAAAAAACGAGATGATATATTTTTAATATGCACGGCAGATTTCATGAGGAAAATAATTAGTCGTGTCAGAATAAACGGTTTCCGTCTATAGTCGTTTTAAATGAGAAACAGAAATGGTGTTGGTGGTGAGAACATGTTAGGATGCTGGTTAGAGGTGGCGCCTCTGGTCACCAACGGTGAGCGGGGTCAAAGGTCAGCAGAGGCCGCCGGTGGGTGGAGGAGACCGAGGCGGGGGAAAGTTCAAAAACCGACGTCTGGCCAAAGTATCTTTAGCCCGTGATCTTTAACCGCCTGATATGGGAACGCACAGGTTGCCATAGCAACACGCGGAGTGGTGATTTCATCATAATTCAGAGGTTTCATGGTGAAATTGTAACATGTTTCAAATTTTAAGGTCAGCGTCTACGATTTAATTCCTTAAAAACTCCTCTGCTGCTTCCCTGTCTGCTCGTTAATGAGGCGTAATTAGAGCATATCTGGTTCCATCTCCTCGCCCCCAAATGTTTGATTTCTCTAAACAAATTTGCGATGGTGAAAACAACCCCTGTCGTTACGAACCACGGCTGGATGATAGCGGTCAGGCCATCCAGCAAAATGGGGAAATCATCAAGATAATCATTTGCAGTCGTTTTCCTCATCGTTTTCTTCATATCTGCCCTCGGTCCTCCTCTCCTCATTTACCAGGGTGTCATTATGCAAAGAAAAAGAGCCGGTGAGGGGAGCAGTTTCCTCCTAATGTGATTGGTGTTGTGGAAGGGGGCCGTGACTCTGATCAGAACTGAATAAACACCTTGCTGACATTTTCAATCTCGCCTTCCTCCCTCCATCAGTATCATTTTTCCGTCTCCATCCATCAGGATGGGAGACTGCTTTCTGCGTCCATCTACTTCCGTTTGCCGGATCATTTCACTCCATTATCTCCATTTCTTCCACCTCCGACTCATCTCCGTCTTGTTGTCTCTCCTCAACCTTCTCACTCCCTCCTCCTCTCGTTAACTCCTGCTGTATGTATGACCGCCCGCCCTCGTGTGACATTTCTCCCCTGTCCATACCTTTCTCTTGCGAGTGGTGAGGACCTGAAAGGGCTGGATCTGTTTCCTCTCGGGATCCCAGGCCACAGCCTCTGTGTCCAGAATGCAGGACACCACAGAGTCTTTCTTCATCTGTAGGGGGGGGGGGGGATGATAAGAGCAATTTAGAGGAGAAAAAGGCCTGGGAAGCATCAAGTCTGAACAAACAAACACTAGCAGTCACAATAGAGGAGTTTAAGCTTGAAGGACATTTTACAAGGAAAAACAAACTCTTCACTTCTCAGTTTGTGTCTTTAAATCAATAAATAAAAAAATAAAAAATCAAACTGAGGTCAGGCTCAGGCTGCCTCGGGACCCCTATCTGCCCTCAGTTTGTTGTCAAATACTTCAGGAGTCAACCCATTAACATTTTTTCTCCCCTACGCTGATTGCCACTGTTGAATAGACTTTTCTATTCTCCCAGTTATCAAACGCCCACTCCTCTGGCCGGATGCCCACGTTGTGACAATAAGCTTCATCAGAAACAGTTTGCAGCATATTTAGTGCCTTTCGATTCAGCTTGAAGCGCGGGGCTTTGGCAGCCGATTTTCCCTGAGCCGGAAAACAATGACTGGAGTTCAAACCGGGTGGAAAGCATCTCACTGATGGGCAGATTCCATTGACCACTGCAGCTGATTGTCAGGATCGAGATGTGTGACTGCTAATTATCTCAGCCGTCGTGGCCAGTGAGGCTGATTTGAGCCTATCGGGAGTCTTGGAATGTTTGAGTTTACAGCATCGAGCCGACCAGGAGTTAATCGGCAAGAGAAAGTCGGAGAAAGTTAATCAGAGTAAGGGAGCAGGAGACACATTAAAGGTAGCAGGTTGTTTGGAAACAGTCTCATCAAACATAACCAGTTGTGCTTGTAGGGTCATTAGGCCACGCAATGCATTAATTAGCAATTAATACATCAGTATTAATATTAATGTACTGCTATAAATTCATGATTCACAGTATTAAGGTGTACTGGCAGCGCGGGAAAACTGGTTTTTCCTCATTAAAATGCTAAATAATGCAGCAAGGTGCGGTAAAATCTAATCAGACCATCTCCTCTATTTAAGCAACATGTGCCAGCGAGAAGCCTCCGACAGGCATCGCTGGTTTATTGTGTTCATAAATAAAGATATTTTGCAATGGCAACATCATGATGAAATTACAATTAAAACTGGCCTGCCACATTAATAAGTAATCAGTTACAAAGATGAGCGATTTATTCAAAAGACTGACCTGACTTATTCGAACAGCAAAATAAATACCACAAAGACCAATGAATTACGTAAATGAGGGACAATCAGGCAGAAACGAGCTCAGAGTAAATCACATCATCACTGAGATGCAAATGAAGCCCAAATATTTCACCCTTTCACAGTTTCTCCAGACCACAAACTTTATAATTCAGGTCGAGGGAACGGGGAGACAAGCAGACACAGGCAAGAAAAACAGAAGACGCATGAAAATGAGAGGTGCAAACGAGCACAATGCGGAAGACGTTTTAAAGAGAAAGAAGCTGAGCGGAAAGAGGAAGAAACTGTGAGGCTGAAATTTAATGGAACAGAAGAAAGACATGAAAAAAGAAAATAAAGTGAGAGAAGACAGCAGGCGTGCGGAGAGCAGAAAGACACCAAAAATAGGTCCAACTAGCATCAGAAAAAAAAAACTGGAAAGGAGACAAAAGTCAGAAGAGAGGAAACACAGCTAAAAGTAAAGAAAAAAGTGGAAGGCTGATTAGGCAAAGGGAGGGGGGACAGAGACGAGCAGAAAGAGAGCTGTAAGGTTGTTTTGGCTTAAAAGTTGAAAAAGGAGCAAAATACAGTGAAAGTTAGAGGGCAGATGTTAGGAGGAATGATGGCACAGGAAGGGGAGGCTGACAAAGGCTTCACGTGGCAATTCAGGTCATGCCAGCCCAGAGCCGGTGGGCAGCAGGGCGAGGCCGACATATTCATTCACCTTCTGTGAGAGCGCTGCAGGTTAATGGGGCTCGATTTTAAAAGTAATCTGCTCACTTAATAGATTCCAACAACAGGGCTGCTAACAACTTCATGTATTTCCTTCTGATATTTAAAAAAAAAAAAAACTCCTCAATCTACGGAGTGAAACTTATCATTAAAACCTCTGTGGTCGAAGATACAAGCGACCACGATGGGCTGCTTTCCCTTCATATTTACCTTCAAAGCTGATCACCAGCGTCTTTTAACACAACCTCAGACATTTGACTTTAAACTTTTTCTTAAGTGTTGTATTAACACAAAATAACTCGTCCAATCTGAATATGAAAAGGTTGGATTTTCACATGTTTTTTCATTAAAAATGTGAACAGTTTTAAACACACTAAAACTACCAAACAACGATACAAACAACTATTTACAACAAGCCGCTGAAACAAAACTTCCCCTCAGCCACCAAAAGCCACACAATTTCCTGGTTGGGGTATGTGGTGCATTTTTCCACCATTAGGAAAGCAGTGTCACCATTCCTTACAAAAGCTTTTCTTTTAGGCTTCTTCGTGCACCAAACGAGGCAGCAACACGCAGGAACAAGCACAGTGCGAATTTTTTTATGATAATCAACAGGATTCAAACAGCGGTTCATAGTTTAAACGGAGGCTGCATCTTGATATTACAGAATAAACCGATCATGCGACTTGGATGTGTGATCAAAGCAGAGAACTGCATGTGTAATTCTTCAAATGAATGGCTGATTTCCTTTCCCTGGGCTCAGTCAGAGGTCTGTATCTATGCACTGGTGGAGATGTTTCCCGGGCTTCTTAACGAAGCCCTTGTTAATGTTAGTAATTCCATCTGAGCTCTTCCTTCAGTGATGAGTCAGGCAGCCCGCTGTGGGAAAGCTTCATAGGAGCTGAGAGATGTAAGGAGCCGAGAATAGAGAGACCCAACAAAGTCTGGCAGCCAGCTTTGAAGTGGGGCAGCAGTTGATCACCAGTGATTTAAAGCCCCCGGTCTAACGGGGCGCGCCCACCCAGCAGTGGGGTTTTAACATGCAGCAGCAGAATAGCAGTCTGTAGTATAAATAACCTCACACAGTTCTTATCAGCGCTGTCAACGACTCCAGTAAAGCCGGGAAGCATTGAAATGTGTGAATGTGTAGAAAGAAAACAGAGCTTTCCGTAGCGGCTTGGTGAGGCGCCACATGTGGCGCCCTGCCGTGGCAACGGGTGGCTGTACGTTGGCTCTAAGTCCAAGAGGTCCCAGCACCGCTTTAGCAGAAAGCCTGGAGCAATATGTCACCTTCTGAAGACTTACACTGGTTCTGGACTTTTAACAACACCTTTTCTTTGGCCGGTCTCTGTAAACAACACTGGAGTCACTTCAGAGGAAAAACACAGATCGGTGGAGACGTGGTCAACATTAAATGCGTCCAATACCATTACTCGAGTTTGGAGGGTGAGATTAGGGACCGTACACATGTGAATTGCAGCGGCCATCTGTTCGATGCGTCGACCTTTGGGGGGTCTGAGGAGCTCAGCTGGCAGCAGATTTGGACGAGGCTCCATTATTGGCAGACAGGCGGGGTTAATTTCTCATCGTATAGACAGAAGAGCGTACACCACGCACTCATTGACCTTTGCAACGTGGCTTTAGTCCCTCGGCTGATTCTCTAACAGTGAAATCGGGTAGGGCCGTGTGTCAGACGCAGGCTTTGCCTCGCAGTGGTTTTAGTCGTTCCTGAAGCACGACCACAGCGGGAAAAAGGGTCGCCCACAGAAATGTTGTCACTTTTTTTTGTGGAGGTGATTTAAACCAGCAGAGTCAATCCTCGGAGGGCAAGAGGTTAGCAGGATGTAAAAATAAAAAAGTCCCAACAGCCCGAGGAATTACATTTACACGCAAAAAAAAAAGTTCTCATTTTCATTGGAAGGCTAAATTGTTTATGGGAAAAAAAAGAAAATAAATACATAAAAGCTTTTCTTATGCAGACCCTTCAGCACCCATTTTTATAACTAAACTCTACATCTGGGAGCCAATCAGAAAAACCATCAAACGACAAGCTGACCTTCAACCTTATGCAATCTTTAGCAAAGAAATGCGATAGACTATCTACTGACCTGATTATTCAAAATCATGAGGGTGTAAAAAACTTTAAAAAGCTGTTTTAATCTTATCTTGAACACAACTAGTATTTTACTGTTATCTCATTGAAAAAAAATATTGTTTCTTCTATATTATTCCACAATTATCTCCAAAGTCAATCCAGCAATCCTCCAGATTCCATCAGAGTTTCTGACCACACCTCTTAATAAGATTATCTGGTTCAACCAAATCGACTGATGAGGCCAAAAAAAGTGAAAAGACTAAAGGCAAAGCTCCAGAGTTGATTTATGTGGTACTTAGCTGCAGTTACTTGATGTATCAGGAAGGAAAAAAAACACTCAGCAGGCACTGAAGCAGTGAGCGCGCTCAGATAACCTCAGGCCAGCAGCCACAGCTTCAAGTGCTTGTCATCTCTTTTTTTTTTACTCCCCACACGAGTAGATTCCAACCAATTTGGCAGAGCTACCCACAACAGCAGCTCCAAGTCACACAACTGGTCTTGACATCTATTAGAAAGATGAAGTTAAGTCAAAAGCTGGTTGAGGATTGGCCTTGTTCGGGTACAGTCAGCAGTGGCTCTGAATGACTGAGGGAAGGCAAAGGAACAGAGAAACTTTGAAGAGAGCTTTCAAATCGTGACAGAAAGGCACATAGAAAGGAGACGGCTGAGAGATAGGACGGGCAAAACCAACACAATGAAAGACAGCGGGAGTGAGATAAATGTGTTGGGCTTTTTTGACAATGGCAGCACAGAGCCCCGGGTGCCCCGGGCCCGGCCGGCACAGCCCTCCGCTCGCCCGCTTTACCTTGGGAATGCGGGAGATGATATCGGGGTATTTGCCGGTTGTGTCCTCCTGATTGCGGCTGAATATTCGGACTTCTCCGTTTTCCAGAATGTGGATCTGTGGAGAGCCGTGAAAAAAAAATTGGATGAAAAACATCCGAGTTGAAAGGAGGTTAAACATGTGTAGGTGGAACATTTCACTGCACGGAAGGCTAATTCTGGCTTCTGGTCCAAAGGGGAAAAAAAAGACAGAGAACAAGGTATTATTTCTCTTTTGAACAGTCGCTCTGAGTGTAGAGCTGGACTACACGCTGGACTCCAGCCAATTATCACATGCCGTCTTTGACAATTTGGATGAAACTTAACTGTCTTAGTTGCCGCCGCCTCGCACCAACGAAGAAGACAGCGATCTTTTGACTCTTTTGGAAAGCTACAGACCTTTAAAGTATCTTGGTGATGGCATACCACGTCTGCAACAACCAATTAATCATTTGTCTGATTTAACAAACTGATCTTTTTCCCCCTTTTTCTAAAAACAAACATTTCAGAGGCATCAAAGTGTTCTGTTAACATTAAATAAATCCAGCTAATTACACAGGCAGGTAAGGGAAAAAAGACAGCATGGCCTCTTTTGGGGGCTTGGTAATAACAAGGTAAAGTAATCTTCTTTTCTTTGAAATCATCCACACATGAACAACGCTCGTCTTGTGTCTCACGTGCATAACAGCGACACATTTTGAAGCGTGAAAGCCCGATAACTCAATAACGTGCCCGGACACAAACTCTGCAGCTGCAGATGGAGCTGCCACCCCGAAGGGGAAGCACTGTGATGTAAAACGACATAAATAAATATGCTGCACTGTACATTCAGAAGCATTAGGGCGTTATAGCGCAGACGGGCCCAGCAGCAGAGAAAATAGGACTCATTCAAAAAGATGAAAAATGACTCAATTCAACGCAAAAAGCAGATGAGAGCAGAGAGCCCCAAAGAAGTGGTTTTAGGGCTGAGACTCCGATTTTATTGGAGTCAACATGACTCCATTTTACTGGTGTCAATTCAGGGTAAAAAAATGTAAAAATAAATCAACGGTCCAACATGTGTTGCAGTTTGTCCTTCATTTTTATGGAAATGTGATCCGTCTTTGCAGAAGTCAAGCAGGCCTGAAGCTCAAAGAAACTCAGTTTTGTCATTCAGCTTTTTGGGCCCGTGGAGCTGAAACAGTGAAATATTCAACTCTTCTCCTCATTTGTTCAGCAGCCTGCATCGAAAACACAGCAGCAACAGAGCTCCCAGATGAAAGAACACCACACACGCTCCGCTCTCTCACCTATCAGATTATTGTCTCTTGTATATCAGTCAGAAATTTAAATCTATTCCAAGTTTTCCTTTGCCATTTAATCACGAGGACTTTCTCAGAGCTGCATAACATTACACATCCTGTATAATGTGAAAACTGTGTGCATGCACGTCTCCATTTTCCTTTCAACTTTGTCAACAACGACTGACAACTATGGCTGACTAAGATGTGATTTACAGACTACTTTAACAGACTAATTACACATTGCAAATGCAGGCTCGTTTGCTGCTCCTTTTTTTCTCCTCAATAATTGCTGTTGTCACAGATAAATAAACTCTAAAACAAAAAATAAACAGATGTCCAACAATTGTGATTTATCAGCTGTCTAAGAGGCAGACACTGACACCCTTATGGCAGCACACAAAACCAGAACACACACACAAAACCAGAACACACACACACACAATGTTGAACAGATTAATGTGTCTCGGGTCCCCCTGCTGGTCGATGGAGGTAAAGTTCACTGCAGTGAGGCCAAAGAGAGAGAGAGGAGCAGAAAGAGAGGACGTCATGAGGTTTGCTGCCTCCATCCTGTCTCTCTGCTTCTCAGTCAGATCAGTTCAAAGGCACTTTATTGGCATGACTGCCCAAAATTAACAATATAGCTGGAGGGGTTCGCATTACAATCCACCACTTGCTGCATCTTTTTATGTCTGTTGAAATTTCCTCCCCTCTCTACAGTCATCTCTCACTCCTTCTGATGTCTCTCGTCTTTCCTGTTTCTGCACAGTCTCCCAACCTCTCTCAATCTCCCCCCCCCTCCTATCTGGCCCACAGTGGCAGAGCTAGCTTGTTCTGCCCACAGGCCAAGGGTAAAAGCAGCTATACTGTTTATCTTAAAAGAAAGGAGAGGCACACAAACACACTCACAGGGAGAGGGAGGGAGAGAGAGCACTGCAAAGAGTCACAGCACAGCCATACCTCTTACTCAAGGAACACAGCTGAGAGGTATACGCATACAAAATTAAGCAGCCATGTGTCGGGTGCCAAATGGAAGGAAAACAAACAGTTGCACTCTGTCACTTCTCCATGGGAAGGAAACGCCAGCACAAACCTGAGCGCGCTCTCCATCGTACTTGTACTCGCAGGTGAAGGCTGCCTCGTCGAACCTCTTCATCACCTCGCCAACACCTTTGGTGGGGTGAGCCAACATGGGTCTTAGCGGCACGCCTAGAGGAGCGGGGGGGGGGGTTAGCGAAGTAAGCAACGTGCTGCTCATTAATTAGAAATAAATCAAAGTGTTGCGTTTGTGTTAGCTGAGGAGAGACGTTGTGTACTGACGACGTGTTTGGTGAGCGGCAGAGGTGGTGCTAACAGCCCCCCCCCTCCCAAAAAACAACAAAAGCAAGGTTGGGGATCTAGATCCATTTGCTAAACATAATTTTTTTAAAAGCCTCCGAAACTGTGAATCTTCCGTCGGTGACACATTGTCGCCTGTAAAAGCAGAGTCGCACCCACAGCCGTTTCTGCGACACAAACAAAGCCCAAAGAAGTTTTGTTTGTGCTCTCACACGGGCGCTCTCTGACTCACGTCCCCCCTCAGGCTGCCAAGTTAAGCTTCAAAAGCAGCAGGGGAGATAAAACGAAATATACCAAGCAAATTCCCTTAATTACAGCTTTAGAGCTGGAGGATGATATGACAGGGCTGTATTGTTCTAATTGGCCGGTACCGCTCAAAAATCCACCGGCTCTTTGAAGCGCCTGATGCCTCCAAACAAAACAACTCACAGAAGAACTATTGTTTACCTGTTCAAAGAGCGGCTACATCTGTCCGGCTGACCAAGAACTACCGCCTTAGTGACTCACGCTCGTACCTTTCAGGGGGGGGGCTGCTGGTGACTCAGTCTGGCTCGGTATCACACAACAGCATAATGAGGAGCTAATTCTTGGTTTGTTGGCTTCTTATTTGTTCTTTACGCGCTTAATGACTGGCTTTAATAACTGACCACCTCCACTGAAGGGATCGATACCCAGACACCGGTCACCGCCTTGGATTCTGCCACCTGACTGGCTGCTTACCCGGAGTGAGCTTGCAGTGGTTGGGAAGCTGGTCGATGCCCTCTTTTAGCAAAACTGGGATGATGACGTCGTAATTGGGCATCTCGCTGCAAAGGAGACAAGGCGGGGAAAACAAAAAAAAAAGTAGAAAGAGAATCAATGTCTTCCAAACAGAAAAGTGACCGCAATGACTGAGGGGAGAAGAAGGACATGGACTGAACGGGGATTGTAGCGGCCCCCAAAGACAAGCTGCAAAGTGAATCAAGAGGCTGGAGCTAAAGCCTTAGTTACCAATAAGTCTGTTTAAGAATTAGACTCTTCTCTTCGATCCAGGTCCGCTTGCTCTCGGCACTCATCCCCTTCCCCGCATCGATCACATTAGGAGGGAAACCTATGAAAAAGGCAAAGAAGTGTCTCTAAAACGGATCCATGTCGATGCTTGAACTTTCATATGAAGCTGTTCTTTCAGAGTGTGGTGTTTGTTTCACATTTTCACAGATTTATAGGTTTAAATTATGACTGAGTAAGAGATTGAGATAAATTAGTCCTTGTAATGATCTGCTGTAGCTCTGAAGAAAAATGGAGCGCTTTTAGTTGACATGCCTGATTAAATAATGGTGAAATGAATAAATAAATTAATAAAAATGTGAGGGAAAACATCTCCAGACCAGACCACAAATCAATGCAAATTTCCCCACTGAACCTCTGCTCTAATTGACTTCTTTTAAAGCCCATCTTCAGTCATGTCTACGCAACGCAGTCTTAATAAATCAGGACAGAACCCGTCTAATCTGGTGTATGCGGCGGTTGAGAGCGGGTTGAGCTGCTGCTGAAACCAGCTGGTGAGAGATCGGATGTGAGAGCGTCCTGTTTAAAGCCATGCATTGAGCGCCACGCTGGTGAGAAGTCAGGTTTCCGTTATCGAATTTCATACCAGATGGTTGCCGTTTTTACATTTAACAAGGAGGCACGTGGTCACACGCTGCCTGTAATACTTTAAATTATGTTAATTTGATCTTTCACTATTCTAATTAGTGTAAAGAATATTTTAACACGTTAATTTATGAATAAAACATCATTGCACTCCACCCTCCTCAGGAATCTCGCACTCCTATAAAAGAATTTGCACCACAACACCACAAACGCTGCTAATTAAGGCGGTGGGGAAAGTTAGATGGTGAATTTTAACGGCTTTCTGAAATATTTGAGCAAGAATTCACAATTTATACTGTCAATTTGGAGTTTGAATGAGCTAGATGCAGGCGCTTTCACACTCAAGCTAAGACTGTGAGATGTGAATAGACTAGAGGGAGAAAAACTGTCCCAAAGCTCAATCAAACACATCTGCTGTTGGCTGTTTGGAGGTTTTCCTTCCCTCCAAACCGCCATCAATCAGAGGCCCTGTTTTTAAGAATGTTCAGAGGAAGGAAAACACTGCCCCAGCTTCTCCCTGTGGCTATTGGATGCGAAATGTTATTATGCATGCTGACTAAAGCCTATTTATTGTTTTGTTGCATTTAAAATGCAAAAGAGGCGCGAGAGATGCAGATGGATGCTCCTGCTGTCGAGCTCATTTCCTTTTTCTTAATGAAAGGCTATTTACCACATATTCCCTCCACAACACATCATGCCTCCAACTGACTGTACGATCTGAACCAAAGACCGAGCCCTCACCGTGAAGCTGCAGGATTATTGGAGCTGGAGCTTTCTACATTCAACTCTGGACAGACCAATTGGAAATCTCAGCAGTATTTAGCATTTTCGCTCTAAATTTTCTGGGATGCAACACATTGACCGGTACCAATAGGGCACTGTAAATCACACTGATAGCTGATTTGGGAGTTGTTGTTTTTTTCTTAAAAAGCAGCACCAACAGTGATCACAGCTAACAGGAGGTGGATACCTTGTCCAGGTGGGGTCAAGCAGACAGCTTGACCCAGAGCAGAGAGCACGCTCTGCTCGGCCAGGCCGATCCTCAGCTTCCCGGCCAGAGATCTGTCCATCAAACCAGAAAGATCAACAGGTCAGTGTACGTGTCCGCCTGCACCTGCTGCACAGGAGCAGGGCTACGCGCTCAAACAGGCGCACGGTCAGCTGCGAGGCCTCTGGACATTCTGTGTCTGTAAACGTCCAGAGGCTAAAGCCGTCTGCGCGCGTGCACGAGCGGGTCTTCCTTTACCTGACTATGTAGCGGGCCTCCGAAAAACGGCACGCCACAAAGAGGCCTTTGATGATGTCGATTTTCTTATTCATGGCCTGAGGCAAGAGAGAGGAAATTGAGATTCACAGAAGACCGAGAGGAGACAGAACGCAGAGAGACCGAGGTTACCAGCCAGCTCAAACTCCGTGTTAAAAACAGGAAAAAAGAGGAAGAAAAAACCCCTTGATCCTGCAGCAACTGGTCGGAAAAAGGACCTAATTACAAATGAGATTCCAGCCAGTTGAGAATTTACTTAAAGGCTGGGTATTGAACCTCTTCACTCTGACGTCGGCAAAGCAAACATCTCACATCGCCTCTTTTCTTTTTCCTTTTTCTACTCGTGGGTTTACAATCGAGAAGCGAATGAAAAAAACAAAAACAACAACAATATTTTCCCTGAGCCTGTTTTCCTCTAATGGAAATGTTATTTTGTTACTCACCGAGTTCCCACTCATGTTGCCAATTTCCTTCAATTTCTTGAAGACGCCCCCTACTGTCAGGCTGGCGGGCTGGAACATCATGCGCTGGTTGCTACGGGAACTCTCTGCCACTAGACCCAAATCTCCCTTTTCCTGCGCTTCTGCTTTAATTTTGTCCAGCTGTCGCCCTGGAAACGAGAGCCAGACATCAAAAGGCCGCCTCTTTGGCTGATGAGCAAAGGATTGATCCATCGCTTAGATAGGGAATGCACAACAAGTGTTTGGGTACGACGGAACGGCAACAAATTGCGTGCGCGGTGTGCGTCTGCTACCGGTGGCTTGTGCGATGGCTTTCATCAGCACCGTCTCTCCCACGCCCAGCTCCATTCCCAGGTAGGCCGGGCCCAGCTGGTTCAAACACAGGTACACGCAGCACAGCAGGTCATCTAGGAGCAAGAACAGCACAAAGAAAACCGTTTCAAGTTGAAGAAAACACACACTTCACTACCCTCCCAACCCACAACCCAACAGACGCACAACAGGCAGGAAGCCAAACACAAAGGCAGAGAAACACACCAACAGACAGCTACACCAACAGCAAGCCAGCAAAAAGAGAAAAAGCAGGATAAAACAGAAACAAAGCACAAACACAGACACTCAGACGCACGTCAGCATAAACATTATCGGAGTCCCTCAGGTACCGGCTCCTCCACACACACCGAACAGAGGCGTCCTCCCCCTTTTATGTGCAACCTGGCTTCATCATCTCCCTGATAGAGTGGCTGGCAGCCAGCTGCCTGTGTCGCTGCATCAGCATGCATTACGGGAGAGATAAAACGGCGCTTACCTGGAGAGAGCAGCAGCACCGAGCGGAACAGGTTCGACAGCGTCTCGATGTTCCTCAGCCTGTGAGAGCACAAAGAGGGAAACGATCTGAGACCAGCGGGGACAGCGCGACTCGTTTCAAGGCCGGTAAACACCGGGCCGAGGTTCCAACCCTCGAGGAGCCGTTTGACATTCAGCGTCAAGAAGACAAACAGAAAGTCAGCGAGGATGTTTGCACTTCTCTAAAATCTTTTCTTTTCATTCCTAGAACTGAGAACCACACGTTTCTACTCCATCAAAAACTACATTTCCCCTTGGTTTCATTTTTCATCTCTAAAGGAGCTGTGGAGGAAGAAGCACTCGCACATGTTTCCAAAGCATGCAAAACCAAAGTGCAACCAGAAGGTAAAATATTTCTCAAATTTAACATTACATACCCAAACCAGAAAATAATTAAAGTTTTTGCCCTTCATGGAAGGGTTTTAGCAAGTTTTACTCATTTAAAAATGTGGAACTCACTTCCTCCCAAATGGTGTTTACCAGCTTTTCCGCCAAACGAAGCTCTTACCTGCCAGAGTCCTCTTCAATTTTCTCAAAGGTTCGAGCCACTGCCAAGTACGGCACTCTGGAGACACATGAGCACATAGTTAGCAGGCAGAACCTCCTCGCCGACAGATTTTTACCTCCACGGTGTTTAGCCGAGTCAGCTGTTCGAGGTAACTGGCAATTAGTGCAACAGGAGGATAAGCTTCGATAACAAGAGCCAGGCGGACAAAAAGGTGGAGCCGCCATTATGCCGGACACGACGGCAGGAATTTACTGCCAAAAAAACAGAAGGCGAAATCCTCCGAGAGGATTTTCTGATGAGCTCTGGACGCCCGAGGGACCGGAGCTGTTCAGACTTGGAAAGAAAATTATTCAACACACCCTCCCTCCCATTTAAATATCAGAATAATTTTTGTAAAATCAAAGTGAGAATTCCAAAATATAAGTGTTAAGATCACAAAACGATGTTTGGCAACTCAACCCGTGCTCTGGCTAAACTGGATAAAACATGGACTGAACAACAGCCAATTTTTATGTTTTCCTTTTTATCATGATGGCTTGGAGAGCTCCAAACAAAAAAATGAACTGGACTAAAAAAGGGTGGACGTCAGTTTAGCTTTAAAGAGGCAATGAGCATCTTTCATCTCTGATTCACTCCCTGTTTGGGAGGGGCATTAGGTTCATCTTCACTTAAGAGTAAGCAGAACACACGTTTGACCAGGCAGCAAGTAAAAACCCCAATTTTCATCTTTTTGGCTTTTTTCCCCAGACAGGCTGATAAATGACATGTTAAATAGTGTGTTAAGAAAAAGGCAATTGCCTGACTTGCCTACGGTGCAAAGTCGAATCATTTTTAACATGTTTTCACACAATTACTCCTCAGCCATGTTGGGTCATAATGGCCCTGAACGGACCGTTTGCCGGTCTGTTTGCCAGTACAGTGATGTACTGCCTACATGTCCGGGGCGCACGCCGCCTCTCACCTGATGGCAGATGGGATAGGCCCCGGCCCCCCAGCTGCCCCGAGTCTTCTAAAGCTGGTATGGAAAATAAATGGATGGATGGCCTACGGCTCAAAAGATGTAATGACTTGCACCAAATTGAGAAAATTACGCACTCTAGGGCCTTTCTCAAATTTCTATACCGTCTGGCAACCTGTATCACATCATTTCTGAAGGCCGGTTGAGAATAGCTGATCAGCTAACACACCTCTGGTGTTTTTCTCCCTCACATCTTTATCTATCAATGTCTGACACACGGAGAGATTGGATTTTTGCAGCCGGATAGCTGGAGTTAAGGGCAATGGGAGCAGAGGTCTTTCAGATCAGGATTTAGTCTAATATAGTCTAAAGAGTTATCCAAAGAGCATCTGGCTGTCAAGACTCTCAAACACAGCTCGTTCGTTCCTTTATTTTGTTTTTTTCTTTGTTTTTTTTAAAGTTGGATAGCATGAAATAGGCTTACTTCTGTCCTTGCTTCCAGCAGGCATGGTCCACTGGATGGTAGTTTGGTCTGGACGGATCATAGCATGTTTGTCCTGAGGTGGATTCCCTGAAACACAAAAAAGTAAACAAATCAGAACAAATTGGAGCCTCACTGAAAAACTAAAGACTCGGGGAAGAACCATTCACAGTAATGAGACACTTTAAGAAAAAACCTCCCAAAACTATTGATTCATTTCAGTGTTTCGCAGGCGACTTCACTTTGAATTGAGACGAACAGCGAAGTCTATCAGAGGCCTCCCAAAACGCTGAAGTTTTGGGAACATGAAGTGTGTTCAGAGTTTCTTCCCCTGGATCAAAATGTGCTCACCGGGGAGCCAAACTGGAGCCGTGGACTTTATTCTGCCTGCACTGCCCGTCACTCTTTCACTGTCACACACACGAGGCAGTGATGAAAAATAAATAGGAGGATGAAAAATGCATTTCCCTCCTTTGAGAGCCGGAGTTTGTGGCTGGAATAGTTAACGTGACCTCAAAATGACAAAGCAATTACACGCAGCTGTGGCTGCCTCTGCTTTACATACGGCGAATAGCAGAAAATGTCAGGCAGGTGGAAGACGAGAAAAAGGGGCTCTCAGGGGTGGCAGGGATCGTGGGGGGTGGGGGGGGGGTTTCACATGCTGATGCAGTCAGCTCCAGTCGCAGGCTGCAAATCTCACCTTCCTTCAAATGAGATTACATCCAGAGATTTTTTTTATCGAGAGAGTCCCAAAACAAAGATTATCCAGAAAATGAATTTAAAAACTATTTACTTTGAACATCTAATTAAGTAGGGAAATCCTGGAAGTGCAGTGATGTGTGATGAAGGTACAGAAAAGAGCTTAAAAAAAAGACAACTGGACGTTTTCTTGGAGGAGTTTCACCAAAATCGTTCAAAAGGCCTCTTCAGTTTGAAGCAGCATGGAGTCGCTCTCACCTGCAGACAGTAACTGTCAGAAAGGTGAGTTTTGGCTGGGAAGGAGGGACAGGCATCGGCCTCCTTTCTCAGGCATGCCTTCTCAGAGACATGACTTAGAAGTTGTTTTTTACAGTTTAGTTGGAGGTCCGCACACACTTTGCTGCATATACTCAGCTGCTCATATTTAAAAGATTCTTCTGGAGACGTCAACAAGTTGTCAAAATCTCAGGGTAAAACCAGACTTTGAAGGATCAGGGGCCAGTTAAGTAGGCCGCTTCTCCTGGTTTAATTTCCTTTATAGCCGAGGGGCTCGCTTAAGGATGCTGCGAAAACTTTGAAAAGTGTCCTTAGTTGAGGCAGTTTCTGTGTATCAAAATTTTCCTGACATCAGATTCAACAGTTTCCATGGAAACCTTTCATCTCTTTGTACCTGGTATAACCATAACTATTTAAACTGTTACCTCACATGCACTGGGAAGTTTCAAAGAAGTCCAATGTTATGTGATCTTCAGAAATAAAATAATGATCTGCACTTTCAACTAACGTTTTCCCGGGTATACCAGGCTAATAGGGTACATCTGATAGGACGAACACATACACCTAGTATTTGGTATCAAATTTCCCCATATGCAGATTGGATTTATCAAACGTTCAAAAGTTTTATGACAAAAATCCATGGAAGGACAGGCTTCTGCATTAGCTGGTGGATAACATGAGGGATGGTTCTACATAAAACTGATCCCCAGAGACCATGATGTGAGGTTATGTTTTGTAGCAGCTCATAGAATTCATAAAAACATAAGAAAATATCAGTCACTTCTTGTAAAATGTGGAAAAATTAGAAAAGGATATCTTTTTAGGAAACTATGTGAATGATTTCAAAAGTTGTCTTTAACAGATTTCTCAAGATCTCCATGTCAGATTCATGTGCAGACACAGGCAGAAGACACAGAGACTAATCAAAAATACACAAAATGCCAAAAGTTAATGGTGATCTAAGGGCAGTTAGTAAATACACAGGACTGAATAACGCAAAGGAAAAGGAATCCTGGGAGGTCATCACAGATGCTGTAAACACAGAAACTGGACATGGACGTGCAGCAAAAGGAGTGAAAAAAGGTTTAAAATCTGACAAAAAACAGGGTCAGCAAACATCAGACGTGAGGTGACTGGGATCATGTCATCAAAGAAGTCGTCTGGATGCCAAAAACCTGCAGATGCCATAATTATGGCAAGAACATTTGTGATTTTTGTCTCCAGAAAGAGCGGACTCGGTCACAGACACAGTTTCAGCAGTGGGACAATGTTTGTTCTTTGAAACGGTGGCTGAATGAGGCCCATTGATCGTTACTGGTATTCAACTCTAAGTGAATAAGTCTAACAAACCACACAGAGCAAACGCTTCACTAATGCAGTGAGATATCGTCTCCAAATCATCTAAAAAAAGATTAATTCCTGTAGTCACTGAGGCTGACAACAGGCCCTTTAACCTCTTGTACCAGCAGAAAGTTTCTAAAACTCAAGACGAGGATGAAGGAAAAGGAGGGGGAGGACATGTCAACACAGTTAAATAAATTACAATTTTAAAAGAACCTTACAGAGCTGAAGGAAAGCTTTAATTACTCTAAGCATGTGGTAACTTCTTTGTAAGATTAGGTCTTGTGTACATGTTTTAAATTTATTTACAGTATTTTGTGGTTTGACTGACCAGTAAACGGGTTCTCTATTAACTTGAAGTCTGGTAAAACCTATCAGTGAACAGCTGTAATGTCATATAATGGATAAATCGAGTAACTAATGAGGGAGAATAAAGCAAAAATGGACAAATACAAGTTTGTAATCCTCTCCATGTCTGATTGGATGCGAGTGAGAACTTTACCAGAAGGGTCAGAGGTCAAGCTCAACTCAACAATACACACAAACACACCATCATAATGGACTTTAAAACCCAAAGTGTCTCCAACCGCGTACCCCTTTATGTCTTTACATTCCTCCTCCTCTGACTTCTTCTTCTCTGGACTCGTCTTTTCCTCCCCATCGCTCCTTTTCGGGTTCTCTTTCTTCACAGCTGCTTTTCTGGGAGCTGTGAAGAGAAGACAAAAGGAAAAGGTGAGGGTGGAGCTGGGGTTGGCGACAGGAAATGCGGTGCCATCTTCCCAAACTGATCAAAGCAGAGCACATATCCAGACACTCTTTTCCTTTTTTTTTTTTAATGAGCTCGGCATATTCCCCCCCCTCACCAAAGAAACTGCTGATGGATGCTTTCTTGGCCGGCTCCTTATCTTTCTGCTCCTGTGCCTCTCTCGGCTTTTTTTCAAACATCTGACTTTTGGGGCTCTCTCTTCCGTCTCCAGTGTCCTTTTCAACCACCTCCTCTTTGGTGACGGAGAGCCCCTTGTCATCGTCTGTCTTCTCCCTCGCTTCACTTTTCTTTTCTGCCTCCTCAGCTTTCTTTTCTTCCTCCTCAGAGCCCTTGTTCTCCTCCTCGTCAGCCTCTCCTTTCGCGCTCTTCTTCTCTTCCACCTCCTCATCCTGGCCGTTAGCCTCCGTCAGTGCCTTTTCAGCCCTTTCTTCCTTTTCTCCCTCCTCCATGGGCTCCTCTGTGCTCTCTACATAAGGGAAGACAAAAAAGAGTAGCCACTGAAGAGATAAATGCCAGCAGGTTTACCGAGGGCAACAGTTATTCTTTATTTATTTATCGCGTTTGAAGATTCTTCTCAACCTGAAAGCCTTTTATAATAAATGCCTCGGGTGATATTTCTGAGATTCCCTTTTTTTTCTTTTTCTTGGGTAAGTCAAGTGGTAGAGAAATTGCTGTTGACAAACTTGCAGCACAAAGACCCAGCGGAGAAAGCGCGGGTCACGATGCCTGCTGGGTCAGTCGCCACGCATGAAACATTCATTTAACAGACCTGGGAGACGTGCCGCTGGATATAACGGTGCAGGACATATTTCTTCACACGTCCAGAATTTTTGAAGGGCCGCCGACTCATTTAAGGAGTCAAATCTACTTTATTTGACCAGGATCCCCATGGGCCGACTGATTTTAATTTTACCACTACAGATGTGTAAAACATGGCTTTGAAACCAGATTTTAGATTCAATTATATAATAAAGCTTCAGGAACAGAGTCCAAAAAGTATTTTGTGTTCACACCACAGGAAACGGAGTTGATGCTTCTGACCGCTCTACCTCCGCCATCTGTCATGCAACGATACCCTGAAACTTTGGAAATTGTTCAATGGGAGCATTTGTTCTACTAAATCGAGTAATGAGATCAAGCAATTATATCTATTCAACAGAAAAATAAATATGGCTCTCAAAAATGAGCCAATCACTGATTATATTCATTTAATTATTCCACTCTCACCTCTGACGCTGTGCTCTTTGGGTGAGCTATAATCAGCATTTTTTCTTTTTAACTCAAAATGATCCCAAACTGAAGGGATTTTTTCATTTTTTGATGATTTTGTCCACAGTTTTTCTCCAGTTTCGCCACCATATGAATCCCGTTATCATATTTAGAGCCGTTTCGATCACATTTGACAAAGCAATGTTATGCCATACTACTAAAAAAATGTTTTTAAATGTAGCAATGTAAAAAGGATTTTTCCCCCAAACATACATTTATTGTTAAGCTATTAAAAGACCAGAAAGAGAACAACAGGATAAAATAATCTTTGTCAAAGCAAAAAGTTCACACTTTCATTTTCAAGAGCAAAATCAAGAAACAAATTAGAAGTGAGCGGCTCAAACAGAATAAAATAAATAAATGTTATTTCACCCGATAGCTAACATCCGCTGAATTATTAAAACTGGTTACATTAGGATTTAATGAATCCAGTTACTTTGACCACAGAAAACTCATGAGAGATTCATGAACAAATAAACTCGACTGGTGTTGCAAGTTATGAAAGAACTGAAGCGAGTGTGTGTGTTCATGGTGCAACACGCTACAGGAAGGGCGGCGTGGCTCTGCCTTCACACCGGGGGGGCAGAGCCGGCCAATCAGAACGGGCGTACCTTCGGCGCCCGTCTCCACCCGGGGACGTTTGTTTTGGTGACCCTGCTCCTCGGCGGCCTCCGCCTCCTCTCTCTGACCCTCACTGCCGCTCCTGCTCTCATCCAGCTTCCTCTTGGGGAACATCTTCCTTGCTGCGTGCATCGGGACAGCCAATAAATACATTTGGAGAAAAAAAAAAAAAAAAAAAAGAAAGGGTGGGAGTGAGAGGAGTTGCAAATTAAATTACACCATGATCAAACAGGCAGGGGATGTGGAGATGGAAACAGGATGAGTGTTTCTCTTACAGCAGATGTAGGACGCAGGGAAAAAGGGAAAAAAAGGCTGAGATCCGTACTTGGCTAATGAAAACACTAATTCCACCCTGAATGATAATATACATCTCAGCAGCTTACAGTTCCAGCATCATTTCCCCAGTAATTGTATGCGGCAGCAGAGCCGGAGGGCGATTTTGGTTTTGGTTCCACGTCCGCCTCTGTTGTGTTCCTTGTTGCACATTGTAGCGAAGGTGGCACCGTATTTCCTCTACATATCATAATGAAAGCATTTACAGCACATTAAGAATGCAATTTCTGGTCAAATTAGCCTGGTGCTTTAATGCAATGTTTTCTCCAGCAGCGATGATGGCCGGGTTTCGTTTTTATGGCACCGCTGAGGGCAAACGGCCCCCGAACGCAGAGAGCACGGCGAGATGGGAGAGTTAGCCGTTTACATCAGCGAGAGGAGGAGGAGGCAGGGAAGGAAATGAGGAGGGAGGGGCATCCAAAATAAAAACACTGCAGTCCTGCCTGAAAACTTTGCAGATCTAAGCAGTTTGTACAAAGACGTAATCGACTCTAAAGCGACCGCAAATTCACAAACTACCAGCGGACAGAAAAGTTTCCCCCCAGATTCATCACCTACGTGCTAAATGCTCAAGCTGTCCAGTCTGAACGGCAGTCATAAAAGAATAATAGCTACATATGTTCTTCTGAGGAGAGTTAGGGGGATGCTGCGAGGGATGGGGATAAACGGGGACGAGTCTGCTCCCCTGGACGGAGGACGCCTCTTCCGTCCAGTCAGCAGAAACGCCGCACCGCAAAAAAAAACAAAAAAAAAACAAAACAATGAAGCCGAACCAGCGTTATCACCATTGTTACAATAATGCAAATACTGGCAGAAATAAATGACAGGAGAGAAAAGACGGTGTACCGGTGAGTCGTGTCTGAGCAAGATTGCTTTGTTTTTTCATCTAAAGGGCAAAGTGTGCTTTTTTGCTCCCGTTCGACAAAGTTTTTAATGTTTTATGCTCTTTCTCAATAGGAAATTAAGAGTCTGCAGCTCCTTTCACGTGTGATCAAACGAAGGAGCCATAGAGGCAGGAAAGCTGTTAAACTCTGGATGAGTGGAAGTAAAGGTCAGGGTTTTTTGATGGGGACAGAATTTCAGACATAAAACATGTTTTTTTCACCCAGACGACAATTCTTTAAGTTTAAACCAACACTGGGCTCATCCAGACTGCAGTCATGTGGTCAAAAAACATGTTTAGGGAAACCACCAAACTTTTTTTGTTTTACCGTTTCAGGAAAACAACAGAGTTTTTTTGTACTTTTTAATTAGAGAAAAGATCAAATGAACCTTCCAATATGAACCCTTTTTATTTCTTTTTTTAAACCTTATCCTGTTCAGCATTATGGCAGCAGAGCTGAATTCTGAGTACTGTGCTATGCTGGACAAAATTGCTTTGCCAAGTTCTATTGAAAAACATCAAAACCTTTATGATGGTTTAAAGATGGAATAACAGTTTGGATGAACCCGGCTGGATGTTGTGGATTTTATCGTCTTTTCTCCACGCGATCGGTTGACTGCTGCCCTTAAAAAGCTGCAGACTCACCTGCTGCTGCTCAGTAAATCTGCTGTCGTGCTTCAGGAGTGTCTCACTTTTAAAAGTTTACAGTGGAGCTGCAAAACTAGTTACCCCAGCAGATGCTTGGCTTCACAGAGAGGCACATAAAAACACACTTTTTTCTCTATAAAAAAAATCACAAACTTACATCACGTGGTTTTATTTAATTTCCCTTTGGGTGAAAATGTTTTTTCGACTCTACCTCTCACCCTCATTAATTCAGAGCCGCCGTGTCAGAAACATGAGCTGCTTCCTTTTTGAAAAACGCAAAAGCAAAGCGACTAAAGAACCCAGAGTTTTGTGTAGCAATGATGACGGCGAGGCAGCCACAAGCGAGAGACGCCTTCATTTTCCCTCCTCGTGTTTTATTAGATGTGTGATCAAACCTGGGAAAGCGTCACTAATGTAAACTTTATGTTATGCTGAACCCCTACGCCAATATCATCTAGTGTCTGATTATGTTTTCCTTTTAAATCGCAGAAAAGAAAAGACTCACCGCTTGTGTTGGAAAAAACGGCTGATTTAAATAAAATAAAAAAAAACTCAATCATCAGGGACATTAATGAAAAATTCTGAAAGGTCAGAAATGAGATACTGACCTGTCTTGCGTTTGACGATCCCAGAGGGGGAGACGGAGTTGGGAGTGTCGGGGGTTCCTGGTGAAGCCGAGGAGGCCGGAGTGGCGGGCGTTACCGGGGTAACGGGCGTGGCGGGGGCAGGCGGTGGAGACAGCGGGGTGGGAACTGCTTTGAAGACGTCGTCCTTCTGAAGGACGGAAAGCAAAGAGCCACGGATAAGGGCGCATCGATTCCCGTTTACATTTCTTTCAACCTGCCTTTTTAAATCATTCATAACATGCTCCTGGAGCTCCTGCTTAAAGTAGGAAAACTCGGTCGACAAGGCTGAATCGGATTTACAGGAACTTGGTTGGACTGGAGAAAGGAAGTCTTTTTAAAAGCAGAAAGATATGATGTTTGTTTTTTTCAATCAGATTCTTAATAAAATACTAAAATCTGTTCCTTACATAAACAATCAGAAACATTACCAAAAAAAAAGAGAAACATTTTCTTAATGTCAAACTACTAAAAGAGTAAAGGTCTGCAAAGTGCGACTGCATAGTACTAAAAATCCATACACCAGGTTTTGTCCAGGGAGACGAGACCTCTGATTACAGCTTTCTTCATTAACATGCTAACAGAGCTGGAATCACCACCTAACAGTCGGAGTTCCTGTGTGTTAGTCACCAAAACAGGACAGAAGAAATGAAAAAGTCCAATAAAGGGGAGTGAGGTGATTGGGTTCAACCATCTCCCCGGCCGGGGACAGAAACGGCTCCCCGGTCTCAATCAGGAGGCTGCAGCTGGGTGAGTTTTTGTCTTTCGGCTTCCTTTGAGCCTGTGTGCACACACCTCTGCTCAACAGTGTTTAATAAGAGGAGCACCGATAATGAAGTGGGAGGTTTTAATCACCTGCTGCCGAGGCTTTCTGCCTCTGGCCCCAGGCGCCCCGTGCCAGGCTCTTCCATTTCCGGCTCGGACGCTCTCTGATGCTCCACTAAAGCCTGCTGCTCGGGGGGCTTTGGCTCTACGATTACTTTTTTTTAAAAGATTGTGTGTCCAGCAACTTGTATCCAAATCAGTTCTGGAGCAAATCTGTGCCTCACCTGACCTAAAGAACAAACGGAGCACGAGGAGCTAAAAAGCCCAAATGGATGGTTGTTTTCCACCTGCATTTTTTCCATCTGCTTCCTCAGAGTTTTGTTTCCAGTTTGGGACCACGGCACCGCTGTAAATCATTGCTCGCCAACAGCAACGCGAGGCTTAATTTATTCCCTCCAAACCAGCAAACAAGCCTGTGGTGGAATTTCTCAGGTAACACTTCCAACACAGCGGCTGCAGCTGAGTAATGAAGGCCACAAACTACCAGGCTTTCAGGAGCATTTTGACCGCAAACGAAGGTCAAAAGGACCCAGACGGGCCTCCAGAACACACCACCATCATCATTAACGTGTTCATACATCAGTACCGGAGCAGTTCAGGGACTTCTTGACCTCATCGGAAAATAATATATGTGCACCATGAATTCAAATCAACATTTATTAAGCAATCCAGAACTTGAATCACATGGAAGAGGATGTATGTGGACAATTTGATAAATATTTATATCAGGTTACTAATAAGGCAAATCCAAGACTAAGAACCATGCGATTATTCCATCAAAACTCCTGACTTTAACATTTTTGAGTGACGGAAACCATGAAGCTACTATTGGCATTGTTTAACATTCCACAGAGCTGCAATTAATCATCAACAGTCAGCAATGAGATTAATTACAGACAAAAGCAGCCATTACCTACGGACCTGCATTTACCTCCGACAGGGCGGATAAATCAGCTCCTGTCCACCAACATACGCAGAGAGCCGGGTCACATGGCAAACCCCACGTATCCATCACGGTCCCCTTCCGTCTGAGATGGAACCGTGAATAATTGCAGACGTGTGTCGGGAAAAATGAGCGGGGCGGTGAGGAGGAGTGTTTGTCAAATAACAGGTGTCTGAGTGACAGCCAGAGCTGATAATCAGGTCGTTTCATAATGACGCCTTTGACTGAACACATTCAGAATCCCACGGGGATCCAGCGTGTAATTAGCCTCCCTTTGCTATTGCTACCAAAACATCAGATGCCGTTACACCTAGAGGAGCCACAGCTGCTTTAATATGATGTGTTTTTTTTTTATAGGTTTGACAGCGCAGTGGTGAAAACAACCATCTTTGGAACAGCAGGTCAGGGGGTCAAATCCTGACATGAGCAACTATCCAGTAAAGGTCCCCAGGTTAGGCTTACATGTTACTCACAGCCTAGCTAACTTGTTACATCGGCGGTTTGAATAAAAGCGTCTGGTAAATAAAACAAATGGGTCACAAAGTCAGTTTTGATCATTTTGAAATGGAATGATTGCCGTTTTACTAATTTTTGAGTAAGTGAGATGAAAATGGGCAGAAATGGGATCGTATTCCATGCTATGAAATGGAAAAATAACTGATGATTTATCTTGGACAATTATGGCATCAAACAGTCAGCATGGCATCTTTTTTGGAAGTCCTCAATCTTTCACAAATACCAGAGAGAAGCCGCAGCCTGTGTGGGTAAAACGCCTCCTTTACCTTTTCCGTTTTACCAGGAGCTTCTTTGTCTGCTTTCCCTTTGGTGGCAGCCGGTTCTTTAACAGCTGGCGCCTCGTCATCGTCGCTGTCCAGGATTTGGCGGCTGCGTTTGGAAACCTTCTTGACAGGTGAATCTGCCTCCTGGACACCATTCTGCGCCTTGAGGGGGGTCTTGACAGGCCTGGAAACAAGCACAGACACACAGTTGAGACATGTTATCAAAGCAATGAGCCTAATTTATAAGGGGCTGTCCAAAAGCAGAGACTCGACATGCCCAGTTTGGTTATTAAAAAAAGAGAAAAAAAGGATACGGTCAAAAGCACTAAAACAAGCCCATAAAAATCAGAGCCTGAGTCATTAAAAAAATGAGGTCAGAGCAATGATGAGAGGATCATTACATAAAGGCAAGTCAATTAAAGTGAATTTTAAGACGTAGTTTAAAGATTATACATTCTGGAGATAATGAACACTTTATCATCAAAGCAGCTCGGAGATGAGAAACAGAAGTTCTCGTCTCTTTTCACAGAGCCTTCTGAGAGTTAATGACAGGACACAAAAGTTTTACTAATCAGCACATCTGTCAGAAACAGATAAATGCGCACACTTCTACTTAAAAATATGCTTGAGAATAAGCCGATTGACTGATATTGTTTACGACCGTCTCATCGAGCATCAGTTAAGATGCTCAAACCCGGATCATAAGAGCCCCGGTTTTGTTTTTTTTATTCCAGTAAAGGTCAGTAAAGAGGAGGAGGATAAAACTAAACCCGCCACACAGACAACAGCACCCTCATCTTGGTAATAGAGAGAGTTAGACAGTCAGATGGGTTCAACGTGTCAACAAATCAACTGACTCAGGAGAGACTTAAGTCAATAATTTGAAATAAAATAACACAAAAGCCTTTATACATTTCTGAGGTTAATGATAAAGCTCAAATTAATTAATATCATTTACATCTATTACCTATAAACCCTTAAAAAGCCTGATACCTTTATTGAGCACCCAATGTGCTGGCGTCTCCATAAAAGTCCCAGAAAACCTCAGTTTAAACGTAACATATTACACAGAAGAACGTCAAAATGTTTCACAATCAACTTAATAAGTTTTAACTTTGCACATGTCTGGATGAATAGGGCATTTTGACTTGAGTCAAGATGAGCATTGTGTGTCCAAGTGTAAGACTTTAAACACAAAATAAGACAGAATACACAGTAATATCTCCAACTCCAACTAATCTGACGGAAGTGTGTGTGATCCAAGGGTGGAAAAGTGACTTCCAAATGTGTGTTTCCCAGTGTTTTCTTACTTCTTCACTGTTTTTTCTGCAGTTTTCTTTGGAGTGTCTTTATCCTTGGTCTTGGGCTGAAAGAAGGATCTGGTGGAAGAAAAAGAGACACGTGCATAAAAAACAACGACATAAAAAATGGAGGTCAGCATCCAGTGACAGCTCACCTATAAGAAAAATATTCAACTAAAAAGTGTTCAAAGATAAATCTCACTATCTTTCTAGCATCTGTCCAGGTGTGCCGTTTTGGATGTTTAATTTAATCATAAAACTATTGTGTTTTGTTTATTAGTGGCACGAAACTCGACAATTATTACGTTTAGGGTTGATTTGTCCTCCTGAGACTGGGTTAGTTAAGTGTTTTTAGCTAAAGCTAAAACAATGCCCAAAGCCAACAGCTGACCAATTTATCAATACACAGCACAGGTTAAACTAAAACTAACATCCCCCTCAGACACTGTCTCGTTCAACGTACTTTAAAACCATGGACACAGCTTAACAGACCCCCAATTCACTATATCCCGGTTACTAACATTGTTGAGCTAACACTACTTCCTAGCTAGCTAAAACCCAGAAGTTCCACCATTCGTGGGCTTGTTACTTACGCGATGCTCCGCTGCATGTTGTCTTTAAACGTTTCCTTCACCTGATACCGAATTCAAAGTGCTTGTTAAGGCATAAAAGAGGCCCAACATCTACACACAAGAGCACAGACTCCCGCGTTGAAATGGAACAAAATAACTTAGAATATTCGGCGCCAAAATTACAGTTTAGCGAAGATAGCTAAAAAGGAAGATGCGCCGCTTCATCTCTAAAATATTACCCTCATCCGGTCTGCACTTTCGGGCTGTCTAATGTAAGCATGTGATTGTTAATATGAGAAATTATTTGGTGCAAAAAATGTTACTGATGAAAGAGATGCCGAATTCTCCAAAGCCTTCAATGCTGCGTATAAAGACAATATAGGACCAAAATATTAACTATATAACACAACGCACAGGTTGGTTTGCAATTAATTTTTTTATAAATAAGGAAGCACGTATCCGACAGAGCTGTGGTAAATGTGTTTGCTGTGAAAAAAAAATTGCAACTAAACTTTCTGTAGTCGATCTGTGATCATGACGCGAAAAAAAGTGTCAGAGTGGTATCTCTTTTTTAAGGTCTCTCCTGTTTAGAGATGACGTAAGAAGCGGGAGGTGATTGAAAGGTCCTACTGCCCCCTACTGTTTTGGAGTGGTAACTGCGCTCTATGAGAGCCAGCAAATATGGCATCACTTCATAACTATTCCTTAGTGTTAAGCATCTTTAATGCATCTCTGAGCATCTCATGCATGCCAGAGTAGGGGATTACATCCATCCATCCATCCATCCATTATCAATACCGCTTATTCCCTGTTGGGGTCGCGGGGGGAACTGGAGCCTATCCCAGTGGTCAACGGGCGAGAGGCAGGGTACACCCTGGACAGTCCGCCAGTCCATCACAGTAGGGGATTACATTTCAAAATAAACAGCTAAATAATGTACACAGAGTGGACTTCTTTATTTACTCAGATACAAGTCTCATGACATTAAATGTTTACAAGTGCCGGTGCGTGAAGTGCAGAGAGATGAAAACCAGAATTAATCTACATTACATTAAAAAACAACAACGCAATCCAACTGAATAAATAGCTACAAACTCCATCTATTCTAAAAATGAGTCTATCAATAACGAATGACTGCACAATGAGTTTAAAAAGACAGAAAAATACTGCATTTGAGTGATTTGAGGGAAAGTTGTCCTTTTATTTCTTCTCTGCCTTCATTCTGTGTCTCTCTCCAGTCTTCTCTGCTTGTCTTGAATTTCAGAGTGCTTCTCTCTTCCAAACAGACTCCAACTGGCATGATGGTTTATATCCCAACCGGCGGGGCTCTTGTAAGGCCAAGCATTTGCATTTAGACCCAGCTCCCTCGGCTCTCTCAGGTTGACCCCCAGACGTGCAGGAAGAGAATTAAAGGGAAAGGGGGCCTGGAGGGACCGGGGTGCAGGGAGCGGTTTGGGGAGGCAGCATGGGAGTAAAAATGGGTGAGGCAGAGGCTGGACGGCTGTTAGGATGAAGCATGATAGTTATGTCAGATGCAACATGTAAATGTGTCCATAAATGATTAAGACGTGCCAAATGATAAATTAAGGATTAAAGAATGGGATTTTTTTATGACTTTAAAGTGAGTTTTAAAGTGGCCTGCTATAGCATTTTTTAATCTAAGATCTAGCTAGATCCAAATTATTTATACTGAGCCCTCAGCCTTGAAAGTGGATGTATTTTTTTAGCAATTGTACAATCTCCTATGAACAATGAGGTTATACACATTTTTCTGTTGCTTCGTGTGCATATTTATTTTACATTTAAAAAGAATAGTCCCCAACAAAGGCAGTGTTTAATTGTGATCAGTCAGAAAGGCATTTAAAAATCTGTTCGCCAAAGTGTGAGTGGGTCTGAAAATGTGCGGTACTCCCATATATTATTTATGTGTTATTTATCAATTCCTCTAGTATCGAAATGCAATAGTTGAACCATTTCTAATAATTGTAATTTCATAAAAATAATGCACTGGGGAATAATTTCATTATTATCTTTGGCTTGAGATTGAACCAGCAGCTTTTAGACTGTGCTGCTGGACTCACATGTTTGGTTTTCATGGTAGAAAATACCCCATAAGTAGATTTTAGGAGTGAACAGCCGGATTTGAGGTGGTTTATTCACCTTTGGACAGGAGACAAGATGATTACACAGCCAACGGTCACAGTGTTGGCAGAATTGGGGAAACTCTCTTTCTTACCTCGGTCCATGACTGAGCCCGTTCCTCCACACAGAGAAAGGCCGCTCTCAGCGGGGAGCAGAGGGAAGGAGAGGGGGGCGCTCTGGACCAGCTGGAGGTGGGCGGATGGAGGATGAGATGAAGGGATGGTTGAAATGAAAACATTCAACTCAAAACGCTCTGGCAGTGAGTTAAGAAGCTATTTTAAACCTTGTCCAAAAAATGCACATTGATAGTGGTAACTAAAAAAACTTAAAGATGTTATGGTTGATGAGAGCGACATGGGCCAGTGTCAACCCAAAACCTAATCACATTGTAACAGCCCAAAAAACTGATGTAAAATATCAACAATAATTTAACTACACAAATGGTTGTTAAAGATTTTCAAGGTGGCAAAGCTAGATTTCAACAGAGCATCACAAATCAATGAAGAAAAGGTGTTTGGGTAGGAGGCAGGGCTGCATTAAAACTGATCTGATCCTGACAAGAAAATCACTTAATGAACTCCAGAACACGTCTAACAATTAGTGTTAGCGGTCACAGTTAGTGGCTCCATCCACAGAAAGTCACAACTCTACCGTTAAAGAAAAAACAGCTCATTTACGATGGACCGAGGAGGACTAAAAACTTGTTCTAATGTCTGATAAATCATGAAAATCCAATTTAATCGTACTTCTACATCTGGAGGATGTTGTGCATTGCTATACATGGACAGTTCTGTTCCGGATGTCTGTGAAGGCACCATATACTCAGGTTTGGGCCAAATTTTCTTCCATTTAAATTATGTTTTTGTTCCAGTTGATTTTGCATATTTCAACAACAAAAAACAGCTGCAAATATTAAAAAACTTACCTTTGGCAGTCAGTTCCTGTTAAATACTTTGCAAGTAAATTAGCTTTTATTGTAGTTTTATGTGTGATGCTCATCTTCACAGTACCATAAAATAAAAACGTATGACTCTAACTCCCCAAACCAGTGATTCTTACTCCTTTTTTCCCTCTTTGATGCGTGTTACGGTAAGCTCTCTTTTGTCTTTCTACATTTACATCATCAGTCTCTTAGAACTCGAGCCACATGACTTGTTCTCTCCGTGTTCTTTGCCTGGCTGCCCTCCTCCAAAGGCACTGTCAGACATGTTTAACTTCTTTACCTGAAACACTTTGAAAAGTTGTTGAGGGGCATAAACGGAGGCATTTTTATTCAATAACCAAGCTATAGCCACGCATAAAAATCAAGTAACCTGACACTTCAGGCTGAGCTGGTCTGATTATATTTGACTGTTTTTTTCTTCTTTTTTTCCTTCTTCTTATAAACAAGGTCCTTTGGAGGAAAAAGGTGATTTGAGGATGAGAGGATTGCTGCAAATTAAGAACACCCTCTTGTGATACAGCTAATTGGAGGAAGTTGTTCCTTGCATTTTCTGCACCTATCTGAGAAACCTAATTGGACTATGTGACGGTAAAGAGTTTAATTTCAAACTTGGATTTCCATTTGCGAAAAGTAAGAGAAAACTTCTCGGTGGACGGCGTTTGGACGGTTTTATTCCACCACAACAGACAAAGCCGCTCCTCACTAATCCCTGCTCTTGCACATTTATCATGTAATTATATGTCTTGAGCTTTCTAAAGGATGCTAGTTAACCTAAGCCTTGGCTTTGCCTGTGGACACGATAGAAATTTAACTCCTCTCTTTAGAGGGTCAGTCAGTTGGTTGGTTTCATATTAAATGATAACGTTTTCGGCGACGATTCCCATTGAAGTCAAGCCAATCCATTTTAAATGATAAAGTGGAGGTTATTGTCTCCATTAGAGATGTTTAATTTTTAAACCTGAAATAATACAGTCAAAGCAATTACTTTCTCCCGCAGCGTGGAGCAAACCTCCTCTTAAATTATAGTGCGTTTAAAAAAAAAAAAAGAGAAAAATGAGATTTTAGTATGGATGGAGGAAGCTAGTTATCCTCATGTGGGATCTTTAAGTTGGAATAAAGGCGGGGGGGATGACCTGGTGGCTGGCCGGTGGCGGGTATCCCGGATAGTTGACCAGGATGAGCTTGCTGAAGTTGAACTTGTAGGTGAACCGTTTCCCTTTGGTCTTGTGCAGGATGCGTTTGTTGTAGTAGTACCTGCAAGCAGAGCGGCAGTTCTGGGTGTGGGCCCTGCGTCGCCGTGGCAACGGGCCGGCGGAAGGGGCCTGTGCTGCCGTTTCATGCGTGCCGATTACCTGAGGGCCCGGCTCAGCTTGTCGTAGTTCATGTGCGGCTTGCCCTTCCGCTCCCCCCACAGCCTGGCCAGCATCTCGGGGTCCCTTATGACGAACTCCCCCCACTCCCCGCCCCAGCCGATGGCGCCGCCCTCGCCGCGGCCCAGCAGCTCCAGCAGGAAGTGCCACAGCTGCACCTGCCTGGAGCCGGGAGACCAGGCGGGCTTGTAGGCCCAGTCGGGGAACAGAACCGCTGCAGGGGGAGAGAGAGAGGGGGGGTGGGAGGATGGGGAAATCCATCTGTCGTGGGGTGTTTACCGCCGCCGCGAGCCCGCTTTAGAGCGCCGACAGAGCCCCTTTAATCACAACAAGCAAATAGGTCATTTGCTCACGCCGTGAAACACAACTCTGAACCACCCGCAGGTGACTCAAGACTCATTTGAGTGATTCCGTGCCGGGGGAGGCCGTAACTCATGTGAGTTTCCTTTAATTTAGACAGAAAACAGTCTTCGGTCTGAGGGGCGGGTCGATTTCAAACACCCATCCACAGTAACTGTTCAGTTCAGACCGATAAATAAAACACCAGCAAAAAAAAAAAATTAATCACTTCCTGGTTTTGTTCTAGCAACACCTGATTAGATGGAGAAAAACTTCACGGTTTACATTAAAATGAACTAATCAAACTACACAACAGGCACCTGAATGGACATTTTAACCAATCGCCGGCCACTGTCGGACCCGTGTTCTCCTGGTAACGACCTGGAGGAGGATTGTATCATAAGTCCATTTTTCAGCACTTCTGCACCAAATTACTCAGAACTAAGCTTTCAGCAGTGTAAAAAAAGTGACAAATTCACTTTTTTTTCTGGGTTACTTTATCAAAAGATGCCTCCTTCATCCACTAGTGTTTTGTGATTGTTGGATCTGTTGCCTTTGTGACAAAATGGGCTGCTTTTCTATCCCCGCTGTCCACACGCTGAACTTTTAAATCATTCTGGGAAATAGACGTCAGTTAATATGAAACAAGATCTCAGTCCCTGACTTTGCTGGGCGGAAGGTGCTTTTGTCTCAGTCAAAACCAGCTGGGTTTTGACTCAACACCCTCTCAATCAGTCCTTCAAAGCGGAAAAGTATACTTTGTTTCACACAACATTTGCCTGATTTTATCACGTTTGCTCCAGAGGGACTGACTGAAAACCGCTCTGTGGTTCTCATCCCACATCCTGCCGAATATCTGCCCAAAACGGCTCAAATCTTCATCTTCTCTGGTCGTTCATTTATGCATCTTTTGTTCCACTAAATCTACCTGTACTAAAAATGATTTTGATGCTTTGATTTTGCATTCATTAGTGAGCTCTGTCAGAGCAAATTCTTATTCATTTGAAAAGCCTTTTCAGATTGTTTGGGATCAAATTGGATGGATTTAACTGGTACTCGGGATAACGTTATATAAAATGGTCTGTGATGGAGGGGTAAGCTGTGTAGGGCGTACCCCACCTCTCACCCAAAATAATTTTTGGTTCTAAAGATCCATCTAACCAGATCCATATACCATAAATATCAGAAGACTGAATATCTGCTTGGAGCTAAACCAAAGCAGATGTTTTATGTCGGGATATTTTCAAATGTTCAAAGCTCCTCATTTTTTCCTCACACAAGTAAAACAAACCACGGCAAAATGTGCTGATCCAATCCAGAAGAAGTTCAGCTCAGACGCTGAAGCTTTTTTTTAGAATTTTTAGTGTAACTGTTGAAAAACTTTTGAGTGTTTCCTCACATTTTGTGCTGTGAAGGTTAGGTTAATTGTCTCTGAAAGACCTTTGTTGCTTCCACAGCTGGCTGTCCTTCGTTTTGACAATTTAATCTGTTTTTTTTTATCATCCCACAGGTCTGCAGACGGAAGAAACCACAAAACAGCTTACACGCAAAAGTTCTGCCACACAAATATCCACACACACACACACACAGACACACACGTGTAAATAGTGAGATGAAAACGCCCGTCAGCACGGCCTTACTTCTGCTCCAGTAGGCCGATGAGAGGTTGCCGGCCGAGGAGCTGCAGCCGCACTGCATCTGCCACACAAACAGACAAACAGCGTCCTCACGGCTGTGATCATCCAGGAGATCTTTTTGAAAGGGCTGCTTGAAATGAACACTAATTAGCTGTCAGGCGGCGTTAAATTAGCCGTCACAACACCGCCGAGACGCACCTGACTGCGGCGGCTTCAGCCAGAGCTGACTTTTGTTTGTTACAGAGGGATTATTTAGATTTCTGTTCATAATTAGGAGTTAAGAAAATTGTAATGAATTCATGTTAGGAGAGGATCTTGTCATTTGCAACGCGTTTGAGATTCACTCGGTGGTTTTGCTACTTCGGAGTGGGAAGTTTTGTGTATTACACACACACACTCACACACACCCTTCATCCACTCGCATACACAACAACTTGACTTTCCAAGCCCCTTCTACAAAGCTGTAACAACCCCCTAATAAAAGATTTCCTCCCTTAAATCTGGTTTTATGTCCTCATGCAGCACGACACATAAGATTTATTATTATTATTATTATTATTATTATTATTATTATTATTATTATTGTTATTAATATTACTTAGGAATGTAATAGTAGCAGAAATTTGTACCAAAAATAGCTGGAATCAGCCTGATTCCACCGGAATTTCAGGAAATTATAAATAAAAGCGCTCACTGAGGACTACAGAGAGTAATTTTTGCTTTCCACTGGCTAAATTCCACATTTTTAATTACAGTTTGGGCGTTTTTTGACAAATGAAAGCTTAAATTACCAGTTGAGAGCATCAGTGAAGTGTTTAAAAAACAAATTGAGCGATGGCCACAATTAAATATAACAGGTAGAAATTATGACGCCCGTCAAGCAAAACATGTCAACAAGGGTTGCGTTTCTGATTGCTCTCAGGTCTAGTTCAACTGCTCACTTCTGCACAATAGCTGCATTTAAGAATAACAAGTTAGTCAAAGGCCCCCTTGTTTGTGGGTCAATAAGGATTCTTTCTGTTACCTTGACTGGAGCAGAAGTAGAAAAGCCGTCATCAGATTGGAAATGATCACTTTGTCCCGCGGCCCACTTCAAGTCTGGGAGGACTGAGGCAAGGATGGACCGAATCTTAAACCCTCTGTCTCATCTCTCACCCCCAACCGCACACCCTCCCACCTCTCCCTCGTCTCCCCCGTTGTCTCTAATTGCTCCCTCCCTCCCCCATCCCAGAATTAGGAGGTAGGGGTCAGAACTAGACGATCTGATACAGATTACAGTGTTTGAGGATATATCTATTTTTTAAAAGTCTGTCACAGAAACTGAACTTGTTTAATGCTATTTCTCTTTTTGAAGGAAAGAAAAATGCATTTTCTTATAGAAGTGAACACAAGCTGGTTAAAAATGCTGGTCTCTTGGAGTAAAAAAAACTCTTACGCCTGCGGCAAAAAGGCCAAAAGGGCTGTTTGTTTTTTAACATTAAGGCTGGCGCTGTTTCCCCCACTCAGACATAAATGAAATCAGGATAAAAAAGCACCAAACGGGCAAAAATCAACCAGACATGGGGCTCTTTGCTTCCTATATGTCTCCGTAAACGAGTCTTTCGGATGGAGACAAAACACAGTTTAAGGAAAGTAATCTTTTCTTAAAGATGTGTCATTATTTTAAGGTGTAATCAGATTAAACAGTAGCCGAAAGGGTGGCGGAGAGATGAATCGAAAGCCACACAATCTGGCTAAGAGCACTTGCTGTAAGCCGAGACGGGAGCCATCGCTCCCACTCTAAAAGCTGAGGGGCGACTTATGGCCGAGCACGGGGAAGGTGACTGGAGGTTTTCCTCAGAGCTGAATCTGAGAAAAACACGAGGTGAACTCAACACCAGAGCCACTCTTCTCTCCACCAGAGCCGCTTTTCTCTTGACAGCGGTGACTTTGGTGAAGGTTAGCGGGCTGTTCGATGCCCTGCCGCACAGGCGCAGAAGCCAGCCGCACATTCTGCTCAGTCGGATGTCCTGGAAGGGTTCTTTCAGCTCCGTTTGGTGGCTGAAGCACATTAAAAAAATTTAGTGCTAATTTCATGATCAGTTTCATCAACAAAATTTTAAAAATGCCATAATTTTGCTGTTTCAAAGCAAAAAATTTGGAGCACTTTTCCACAGAAAGTTACGTTTAATAGGATCAATTCTTCAGTCTTGTTTTCCTACTGAAATCTAGATTTTAAATTGTCAACATTATTGTTTTTGACAGACTACACCACTTGTTGGTTATTTTGTGTTTGGCAACTTTGCATCAACAGGAACAAGTTCAAACTGTGCAGTTTGTGACAATCATCAACTTTCCAGCCATGACCGAGTACATTTGAACATCTTAACCCAAATGAACCTCCATTTGAACTCCCACCATTAGAGGACAGGAGCAGAACAGAAGGTAAGCAAAGACAGCGGAAGAAAGTCGGAAAGACTTTAGAAAAGTCAGTGATCTGTTGTAAGAGCGGATATCTGAGGGAGGAAAGCAAAGATCCAGAACACTATTACTTTCCATTAATTCTTGTATCAACTCTGTTTAAAGTGTTTGTTTGTTTGTGTCTTAAATACAATATTTTTTAAAATAACATATAATTCACTCATATAAATGTAATTAAATGTAATTAATATTTTCTACAGATTTCCACAGAGTATTTTCCTCCTGTAATTCACAAACTTTCCCCCCATGCCACATTTCCTTAAATACATTGTAATTACACTACAAAAGAATACTTTGACATTTCAAAACCTTTGGAAACATGCAGATGTACATAATTTAGTTTGTCTTTTAAAGGAGTAGTGTGAGTGGGAGCTGTGTTGTAACTCAGTCCTGCACCACTAGCATCAAACCAGGGGTTGTGCTGCTGGTGGATTAGCTGTGATTTAGCTCTCCCTGCAGCAGAAGCTCCCATCAGCAATCCACTGAGCCTTCTCAGGCTGCACATTCATCCATAGGTTCCCCCCGCCGAGCATACTCACACACACTCACACACACTCACACACACTCATCGCTCCTCAGATGCGATAGCTGACACCGGAGGCTTTTAATTCCAGTGTAAATACAAATACTCTCCCAGACAGCTATCAATTATGCATGCCACTAATTGAGTTGGATGTTGTGCTTTTAGCAGCCAGGGGATCCTGGGTCGCACGCAAAAAAGCCTGAAACCAAACACACAAACACACAGGGAGCTGCCCTCGTTTGTGAGGACTTTTATTGATAACCTTTTTGTTTGGCCTTTTTATCAGACCGGCAGTCCAAACAGTCAGCCATGATTCTGCAAAATGAAAATATTCAGTGAGCTGTAGACTGTCATAATATCCCTGCGATGTCCAGTTGGTGTGTTCAAAAGATCCAAACTGACTGAAATACAGAGAAAGAAAACACCCAGCAGTCCCTCTAGTTACAGCTTCTTTAGTGTTACAGTTACTGTTAAACAAAAACTTGTTTAGCATGAGTGCTCATGTCTTGCTTTGCATGAACCCCCTTCAGAAACCTTCTTTAATGCAATGAAAAAGCAAACAAGTGTCTGCAGGGTTTCAGAGTAGCAGTGGTAGAACTCAGTGGATCTGTATCCAGGAGACAGGAATTTAAATCCAGGTTGACCATTGTGTTTTCACCTTTGACTGTTCCATTGTGACACCGTTACTGTAAGTTTTCCTTCTCTTTCCTTTTTCTTTTTAAATCAGTGTTTGCCGCTAGCTTTGCTTAACAAAACTTCTGTTTTAGTGTTTTAGGATTTCAGTGTCCTTTCGAAAGCAAAAACAGTCATTCAAAAGATGAAAACTGACAAGTTTTCTTATGAAAATTTAGACCTTTAACTGATTGTTTTATATTTTATGTTGATCAGTCCAAACATAGAGACAGAAACTCACTGGGAGCTTCTCTTAGAAGTAAATTAAGACCCTTATCAAATGAGTGCACAGGATCTCGCGGCTTCTTATTCCAGTTTTTGCTTAATCCCAAATCTGAGCAGCAATAATTCAAGTAATTTCAGTTTATTTACACAGCGTCAGTAGAGAAGCAAAGTCATCCCACGGTCCCTTTCGGAGAGAAAACAACTTCATTTTAAGTCCAATTAAAAACAGACACTTAATTTAAATTCTAATCCAATTTAATCATTTTAATTAAACTGTAATCAAGTTATAATCTTATTCAGTTCCAATTCAATTAAGCATAGACTGGTTTGGTAAATGTGTGTAAGCAAAGAGATGCCATTAAATCTGCACTCCTAGTCGTACAACTCAATTATCAATTCCTCTTTCATGAAACAGAAGTACTGAAACAGTTCAAAATGACATCTTAGTGCTCACACTGTTGGCATGTTGTTCAGAAGAGGCCGAAAAAGTAAATGAAAACAACAAAATGGCGCAAATTCGGGTGGAAATTAATCACTTGCAAAAAACAAAATGAACCCAAAATGAACATGTTTGGGTCATTGGCCGTTGCCGGCCGTGGCACTTTGGGCCCCGACGGTTCGTTTTCAGCTGGGAAAATGGTTCCTTAAACCAGGCAATCCATTCAGCTGACGACTGAAGGTTTTTAAAAACCTTAAAGATAACGAGCGGGCTGAAGAGCTCCACGCTTTCCACAAAAACCAACACCCGGACCGCCCCCTTTCCCCCGTCAGAAACACCACAACTTCGACCCCCGATGCTCAGATATGCAAACAACAGAGGAAGACAGATGAACGCTGACAGTCTGGAAATTGAGCCCTGGGCCCGATGGCGCTGACCGGGCAGCAGGCAGCGGACAGAGAGGGACGCTCCGGGCCAGCGGCCTTATCGCAGGACATCAGCCTGAAGACGGAGTATAAACACAGAGGGCTGGGACGGGGAAACACACACCTCTCTGCTCTCCCTTGTTATGTGCCTGCTCTGTGGCAGGTATTAGCCCGGGCTGTCACCTGCAGAAGCTAAAGGGGGGGGGGTGATCTAATGAAGGGGTTCAGCCTGAGAATAATAAGAGCTCACATTCTCGGCGGGGCAATTTAGGAGCAGGGGCTTCCACAGAGAGTGCCCTCTTCCTCCTCCTCCTCCTCCTCTCCTCCGCTTTTACATTATCTCCTCTGTGCTGATCTGTGTGTTTGTGTAGGGGACGGAGGATGAGGAGGATGAGGAGGATGATGAGGGCGAGAGAGAAGGATAGGGGTGGCGGTTGGTGGTGGTGGTGGGGGGGGGGGGTTAAGTCTAGATTTGATCCCCTGCTAAAAAGGACTGTTTGTTTTACAGCTGACGACCCCAGAGTTTAATCTGCTGCTTAGCCGCCCGCTCAATCTCCTCTCCTTCATCTCCCCGCATCCTCTCATCCTCATCTTTTTTCTCCCCCCTCGCTTCCTCGGCGGCGCGGCGTTCCCGTTCAACCGGAATCCGCTGGAAGGGGTGGGAAGCGGGGTTTGCGTCAGGCATGGAAGGAGCGCCGCCATGGTTTGGGGGGGGGTGGGCCCTGAGACGCGTCCAGATATGTGTCAGAGGCTCCCATCCCGCCTCAGAACATGGCGTGCGGGAGACAGGAGACACAATGGAGCGGGTGCATGTTAAACAGGATGATGGTATTGCGGCAGATAAGGGTCATGCTCCGAGTCTTAAGGGTCAAATCCTGTTAGAAGTAAGCGGGATGAAGGCTTTAGCCAGGCACCGCTGCGATGTTCACAGACAAAAACTCTGCCTGTGCGTGTGTGTTTGTGTGTGTGTGTGTTTGTGTGCGTGTGTGTGCGAGTAGCTTCTGACTGGAGCATTTATTTATCCCAGAAATTGAGATAAAAGCATCGGCGGCTCTTTATCGGCGTGTCTCAGGTTTTGTGTTGGCGTTTGGGTTTGATCGGGGTCACGCTCACAGACAGGACGCCACCGTCTGACTGGATATCTGTTCGGACCAACGGGTCATCTCGGTGGTCAGTGAGTTCGGACCAAGTCTGCTGAGCCCGCGAGCAAAGCGAATAAATCTTTTAACCCTACAGTGGGAGCTCGGCTGTGTTTGCCTCCAAGGGCTGTAACTCTTTTTAAACTCTTTTTAACTCTTTTTAAAAAAAGGCCGCTCACATCTGAAGGATGTGCCGCTTAAGCCGTTCGTTAATTGATATTAACACACAAGCGGCGCCGTTCTAATGGAGCCTGACTCCCAGCATGCTTTGCACGAGGAGTGGGTCTCCAATCACTTATTTACAACCCAAAATGTCAAACTCAGTTGTGTCAAAGAGATCGAAATCTTTCATACATACATTAATGAAACCCTCCTCGTTTACAAGTTTTGAAATGAGTCAAATGTGACCTCAGTGGAGTAAAAGCCCGTCACATGTAGCATCATATCACTTCTCATTTAATAAAGACCGTTCCACTGGAATGAGGCTGGTGAATACCACACAGGGGTGGGCTGATCACCTCAATTAACCGATGATCAAAAAAAAGAAGAAAGCATCTCTGTAAAACACCCATCGGGAACCCATCCATCCATTATCGTAACCGCTGATTCACCCTGGACTGTCCGCCAGTCCATCGCAGGGTCACACAGAGACACACAAGGACCAACAGCCACACATTCACTCCTAAGGGCAGTTTGGAGTGTCCAATCAACCTAGTGGTAGATTTCTGTTCGCCGAATGAGAAGAAACATTCGCACAATGAGCCATTCAAAAGGTTTGGAGGCGGCTGTTGTTACAAGTAGTAAAATCTGTAAGTGCCGTGAGCCGATGTGTTTTGGGAGGATTTCCAACCACAGACGTTGAGCAGGAAGCCGCTGCCGGTCCGATGATAACTCCCGATTACCGCTGCGGCTCTGATCGAGACCATTTCCTTCATGCGGCGCCATATTAAGACAGACGCAACCCAGAGGTCCATAGCGGAGAAAACTCCGGCGCTCGTGGATTATTTTATCACCGCGCTCACGCAGTTTGACTAATTAGAAACCGCGGGTGGACTCAGCTCTGTTTCTGGGGCTGTCGCTCTGTGTGTGTTTACTTCTGTCGCAATGAGTTTGAATTTTCATGTTTCATTTAGATGTTTTTGGAAAGATAAACCCAGTCTAATTCTGCTTCAAGTGGAAGGCTTTGCTTCCCTGTTGTATACTGTAATGTGTTTGTGCACCCACACCGGTTCTATATGTCGGGGAGTGTTTTTTTTTTATGTCTGAACAACCACAAAGGTCAGGAGGTAAAGAGGTGAAGCTTGAGCAGAAACCGACAAACGCTATCATCCAGATGATGAACTAAAAAAAAAGAAGCAGATTACGTTTAGATCCTTTTCTTTTTTCTTACAGCTATTTGATTTTATTCCAGCTCATCGCCACACATTTCAACTTAACCGCCTTTCTTTCATCAGATGGAATTGTGAGTATTTCTGGGTTCGACCTGCTTCAGGTGTAATGTTTCACAGACTGACTGGATGCATTCAAAATGAAGACTGAGTGGGAATTCAGAGAGCAACTTGAAAACGTCTCTTTTGTTGGCTGACATTACATAAAAAAAAAGTCTTTATTCTGACAAGCTCTTTTTAAAGCAAGGCTTTCTCATTAAAGTGTGTTTCTGAGTGTTTTCCACTCGAAGCCCCAGAGTTCTTCCTCCGGTTTGTTTGAAAACCAGCCTAGTGGTCCTTTCTAATATTTTGATGCGTAATCGCTTTTCCTGAGCCACCATTTCTCATCGTACTGAATTCTCCCTGAAACTCACCTAACCCAAATGTCTGTACATCATGCAGGACCTGCAGAAGTTGTTATGGTGTACCCGAAAAGGACCGTATTGTTTAAATGACGCCATTTAAAAGAGCTATTTCTTCTCCTAATTGGATTTGCGTCAAGAAAAAAAACAAGGCTGATGTACATAATCCAAGTTAGTAACAAGTAATATGCCATCATTTATCCCACATGAGATTTCCTAACTCCTCATTGCCTTTTATGGCTTTATTTATGACATCTCCAGTCACAGGAAAAATTCTCAAGATGGCAGGAAGAATGAAAGGTGGGAGCAGAGACGGCAGCTCTCCCTGCAGAGATAAAACAGGATCATTTCATGAGTGAAAAATTAAGTCAATAAAACTGCAGCGGAAAGGCCCCCGAGCGTTTGGAACAGGGCTGGGAATTCATGCGTGACAGCGAGCGGGTTGTTGTGTCACCGAATGAAACCTCCTCACTTAAAACCTGAAGGTTTCGGAATCAGTTTTCTGCTCCTCCATTTTGGGGCCTCTCAGTGTCCCTGGTTTGTGCCGCTCTCCGGGGAGCTGTGGTTTCTGAAAGGTTCCTCAATGTCCCTAATCTCTCCATCTCTTTGTGTCCAGGCAAAAAATATATCCGCATGAAACTCAAGAGGCCGAAAGGGGCCGGGCTGTGCTCAGGAAAAAAAAGGAACGGGGGGGTGGTGTCTTTCAAGCATTTTGTGAAAAATAGAGTAAAAAAGCATTGCATTGCATTCTTCGTCTAGGGGTATGTGTCTTAATAGTAAGTCAATAGTTAAAGATACTGAGACTGAATCAGTTCATACATCGATCCTTCATTTACAGATTTGTTTATCTGTTATTTTTGTGTGTTTGCTTGGCAGAGAAATTTAAAAAAACATTGGTTTTCAGACAAATTCGAAATCCATCTCTTTACCCATTTTTGTAGTATTTGGTAGTCAGGAAATGCAGATAATGGAGCAGAAGCCACTGGAAAAGCTCCACAAAGCGTTTTATTTTTTTTCGGCTTTCATGAACATGAAAGCATGTCCTGCCAAAATACAGGACAAATGGATTTAAACGCTCTTTTGTATCTGCTGCCATAGCAATGCTAAATAAGCAGATTTACCTTATTCATCACTGCCCCTCGCTTTGCTGGCGTTTTTTGTCTATTCATTTTAATTTTATGATGTTTTGTTTTCTCAGTTGTCCTGCATGATTGTGCAGTGATTGAATGACTGCTTGCTGCAAACACTAGAACCCCACAGGGACGATAAAACCTGTGAGGAATCCAATCTACAGCCAGAAACTAAAAGCATAAATATATAAATCCCTAAATAAACGAATCAATAGGCTAAAATGCAACAATTACAGGGCAAAGAGAAACCAATTTTTTTTGCTTCTACTCTAATTTCCACTAATAATGATGCACTTTTTTTGCAACTATTTACTTTAACACATATTTCATTGTATACATTTCCCATTGTATTTATTTCAATTATATTTTACTTTCAGGATGATTTCCAACATTCTTTACTTATGCAATTCTTTTGACCATTTTTCTTTTATTCTTTTTGCCTTTTCTTTCTCCGACAAGGCACTTTATTTATATATCTTCCTTTTTCACCTGTGTCTCCTGTTTTTAACATTTCCTCTTGCATTTCAGCCTCATAGCATAAATAAGGAAGGCTTTACTTAGTTCTGTGGGTTCAGATTCATTGGCCAATCAAAAGGAAGCGTAAGGCTCTGACCAATAAATGACAAGCTGACCTCTGCTGAAGGACAGCCGACCTTATTTGCAGAGTAGCTGAAATGCAAAAATCCACACAGACACACACTCACACACACACAAACAGTTCAAATCCATCCTGAAAAAGGCTGCATATCAAAGGTTTGTTGGGAAACTTGATCTCACCTGTAAACATATTTGGGGAGTATCAAATGGAAAAAGACACTCTCATTCCACTGTTTTGTACATCATCATGTCTTTATTTGAGTGTAAACAAACTCTGAAAAGAGCATCAGCCTGGTTCTCCATATTGGCAATAACATGATTCGTTTCTTTTTGCAGTCACAGATGAAACGGGACCACTCACCGCAAAAACCAAACCGGAAGGCTCCTCTTGAACAAGTTGCCTCGCGTTAAATTCTGCCCTCGGCTAACCTTTTTGTTTTAAAAATGAACCCAGCGGATTTAGTTTGGAACCGGCGGGTGACACCACGAGACCTCCTCGGCCATAAAAACCACTGTAAGACTGCGAGAGGCCCAAATGTTCAAGTGATCCTGGTTTGCAGTGCGTGCAATAAATAACGCGACCTCCCGCATGAACTGTATGCAACATGGGCTCCGTCCAGAGCTGTAAATCCACCTCCTACTCAGCGGGTGTGGTGTAAGGCGCTGTGCATGTCTGGGGGGGGGGGTCCAGAGGCTCGTCAGGTTAGTAGCAAATCAAAAGGGTTAAACGTGGAACAGGACAAAGGGGGGGCCGCGGAAGCGACCCCAACAGAGACGACACGGAAAACTGGTCCCCGCGGCGACTCCCTTCAGCCGCTCACATCGTCCGCCGACTACACAAATATTTACAATCGAAGAGAGGTGCGGAAAATCGGAGTGAAGAGAGAAATGTTACCACATTCAGACCGGCGGACGAGTGGTGGGACCTACAGGGACTCAGAGTGTGAGTGTAGTGTCAGTTGTAATGTGTGATTGCACAGCGTAGTGTGTGTGTGTGTGTGTGTGTGTGTGTGTGTGTGTGTGTGTGTGTG